AAAGACTTTCAAATGCAGCTCCTTTGTGCCCCTCTAATCACCAGCCCTGTTGCAGGAAGAGGAGGATAAACTTTGCCAAGGGAATATTCTAGCCAGGGAGAGACAGGACAAAGGAGGAGACAATGGAATCATGTGGACCCAATCCTGATCCCCCACCCCAGGTCCTGGAAAAGAATCATTCTGGAGAGAAAGAGCAGAGAGAGGGTGGAATCTTGGGGGATTCCTCTGGGATGGTTCCCCTTCAAGACCCCTCCATTTGAGACACCAGCCACATGTTTACTTAAGGAGTATTAACTCTTTTTATATTTTGGCACCCTAACTTGCCTAGAATATTCTGACAGTTTCCATAAAAACGTAAGTAAATAAATACATTTTTCTATGCAGAGAAAATTATTTAAATTTACACTAATAACCTACTATTTTCCATGCAAATTAGAAATATAAGAAAACATGCTCTAATAGCACCAAAGAAAAGCAAAAATTTTCTAGTCCATTAGCAAAATTTTGCTCTTGAATGTTTATTTTTCTCACCGATATAAGAGAAGTACAACACTGCTTAACCAATAAAACTTTCCAGAAAAATGAATAACAAACTCCTCTTTTAGTGTCCATTAAAACGTCTTTCCAGAGAAAAATAAGCAGAGCAGAAACGTACGCATAATGGAAAAATCTATTTGAGAAAAGTCACTTCAGTTTATTTCACTAAGGGGTTGGACAGCTCAGGTTGGATTTTAAGCTGTTTGTATCCCACAGATTGTTTGGTACACAATGGACACTAAATAAGTATTTGTTGTCAAAAATACTTGTAGTGCTCAAAAGTCAAACTGTTGGTCCCTGGTATGCAGTAACTTACTTTCACCAAACATGAGCTACAAAGTGATATATTCTAAAACGTTACTTCAGATCTTCACAAAATGTTACAAAAATCAACTTAAATTATCCCCCCCAAATGATGTCACAGTATGTTGTTTTCCCTCAGAAATTTTGTTTTCGTACTAGAAAACACTCCTTGGAGGTCGCTTACTGATACAGTATATATCACCAAGCAAATAGGTGGTAACGATCTAAATGTTAATGACGCCTACTCTGGATTTGTAGTCAGAGCTGTGTTCTACCTGCCCTGACCCAACTTAGGTCAAAGTAAAGCACCAGGAAGCTGTTGCTGTTTCATTTTTGTTTTGTACCTTCTACGGGTGACTGGTTTTCTTTTTAGAGTTACCTCACCCCTCCCGTGGGGCTTGATCTTCCTCAGAAGAGGTAAGATGAGGAGAAGACTCAGCTGGAGAAGAAGCTAGTTTTTAAGCCTTTGCTGAGTATCGGGCCAAGGCAGGAGAGAAATTAAATGATGCCAATTCCGTGTAGGGGGTGGAATATGCACATTCAGAGGCCCCAACCCAGGCATGCTGAAATCTAATGTTGTCTTTCCAGTACAGACTCTTGATAGGAGAAAACTCAGTTTTCTAGTAGTGATTCACCTAATGAAAGCAGAAAATCGTGGAAAGCTCGACCTCCACCCCACCCCACCCCCCACCCCCAATGAATGGGTTCCTTTGAGGAGACAGGTGACCCACCTGCCATTCACAGGATTATAACCCCCGGGGGACATCTCCAGCCTTCCATTCAGCAGCAAATTATTAAATTTCTGCTTTCAGCAGGCAACATGCCATATTGGTGGGGAAAAAGAATTTTCTTTTCTCTCAAGGAGCTCATGATGACTGTCGTAGCTTCCAGTCACAGCCCATGGCTACAAAATAATTAGCATCCCCACTTACCTGAGAGCCATTCCCAGAGCATGACATTCTGACCTGGTCGCCCTCAACCAAGGCTTCATGCTGAAATGTAAAAATTTAAGGAAAGAAGTAAGAAAAAGGGTCCTGCATCTTAAAAAATAATAATAAAGTAGAAAGGCAGGATTTGGAGGATGCAAATCCATTTTTTTGAAAATTTACTTCTTTAATAATATTAGTGCAATGTGGTCTAATCTATGATCATAAGAAATTCATACTTGTGAATAAAGCAATAAAAGTTTACTAATTGGCAATGAGCCAATTTAAAAATATCATTGCAATGTCTCAAACTCATTTTCCTCTCTGATGAATCTGATACAGTTTAGTCTGAGCACAAACCATACACAGAATTTTATGCCAGTTTTTAACATGAGTTATTCAGTCCTGGTTCTAGTTGGAAATTTTGGCAACGCCTGTAATCATTAATGATCTATAAAATTATTGGTTTTTTGTTTGTTTTATACCCTATTCTCCTCTATGTATATAAAAACAGCCACCCTCACGAATGTGGATATTCATATAAAAATCGTTTTGTAAATGTGATTACCAAATAACGTCTTCTTTAGGAACTATATTAGATCACAAGATACCCATTTTTAATTTAGCCCTTTGAAGACGGTAGCCAGTCCTGACTTTAAAGCACGTCATAAGTGGCCTCCTCCCCTTCACCATAGCCATAGAAACCAACATACGAGTAAAGGGATTGTTAGCAAAAATATGAATTCATAAGCAGAAAGAAAAGTTGTGGTAAACAAAAGCCAGCGATTGCCCAATAATGAATTCCTTGCTCAGTGCCTGATAACTCCACCAGATAACCATTAAGTTTGGCTCCTAATAAATATCTTAAATTCAAAATTCCAATCTACTTATGGCCTCTAAAACCAGGGTCCTGCCATGACTAGCAGAAGGACCAAAGAGGCAAGGGGAGAAGTGAAGGGAGAAGGGCAAAGTGGGGACCTTAAGGACATCCCTTCTAGAAGAAACTGGAAGGAAACTCTTTCTTTTTCCTTCCCTTTTCAGCATGAAGTCCTCCTCCCAGAGCACCCCATTCAAGAAGTGCAGTGTAGGCTCGTATAATACACCTGTGTAGGTGTTAAAAAGGCTTTGGTGAGCAGCCTGGGGACCTCAAAACCCTTATAGTATCAGTTAAATGAAAAGGCTTGCTCTGGGTTCAAAATAATTTAAATACAGCAACCTTGCAGAGCACCTACTCTGAGTCAGATACCCTGGTAAATACTGTCCTACAAAGATGAATGAGATACCGCTTTTGTTCCCAAGCAGTCCACAACTCACCCACCAACCTGGGGTGGGGTTTTGTAATAATCACTTCATGAATGGGGGGGGTTGGGGTGTATAGATAGTAAAACCCACATTTGGGACCAGATTCACCAAGCACCACAGTTTACCAAAATCTTCATCCTGCTCCATCCCCAAACTCAGTGTTTAGTAGAAAGTGTTAAATCATGCTCATATTAGATTTTGTTCCAAAACATGATGTAATTTTCTAGGAATGTGGCAAATGCATATTACTTCTTAAATGGAACAATGAGCATTGTTAAGACGTTACAACATAGATACAAAAAATTAAATCGTATTGAGAAAACAGTTAAAAAACTTATATCTTAGAAACTTTTTTCAGAACTAACAGTACAACAACATAACAAGAAAAAAGAGACTTTTGGCTTAACAGCTAATCAGAAAACTCAGTTAACCAGAAACTCCCATTTCCCGAGTCTTCCGTTGTGAATGTTTTTAATTGCACAAGCTGAAGTCACGCTATTACAAACCCTGATTCAGCTACTTCCTAGCTGTGTGGCTAGATGATTTAATCTCTCCGTGCCTTGGTTTCCTCATTTGTAAAATGCAGGTGATCATAGTATCCAAACACATAAAATGCTTCCAACAGCTCCTGGTACCTAGGAAGGGTTCTGTCAGGGTTAACTAGCTTTATCACCGTTATTATTACTGCATTGCCTAGATGTGCAGATAAGTTTATGGAATTAATCCCCTGGCAGTCAAATCAATGCATGCTGTGTCTCTCCAAATGCACTCAATATTTCCTAGAAGAAGTGAGGTGTTGGGGGAGAGAGCCAGACAAAATAATTGTGGCAGCTTAGAAATGTCAAGAGAAATTCAATGAGTCTCTCTCCGAATATTTGTAAAAGCAAAAAGAAACAGAAACCAACCAAGCACGGAAACAGTAACAAGAGATGTCAGGGCTTACTACTCCCCATCCATCCTCTTGGACTTTTATTTTATACACACAAAGGTGTTAACGTAGGAATGAAAACCAGGGGAGTTCTTCGATTCCTCAGAACGTTGAGACTGAGTGATGACTGGCCTTTTCCTCCTTGAGACTCCTTATATAACATCAAGTACTGAAGGACTCAAATATGGTAGAAAAGAAAAGTGGGATTTTATAGGACGGGAGTTTGTTCCTAAAAATGTCGGTTTCCCCGAGCCTGTCATGTACCTGCTAGGAAGCGTCCGTGGGGTACATTAGAGTCACTTACCTTTGTATGCACAGCATATTAATGTGATAGACTCGAGATAGATAGATAGATAGATAGTGCTATTATTCAGGTTAAATTCCGCAACTGAGGAGAGTGTCCGCATGGGCTTATCTTCTCATGACTCACATATCGGTCTCCTAAGGACCTTCCTGGACCCTTTGTCAGTAACTCCCGCACCCTCCTCCTCTTCCAGTTAGTCCTGGATGAGCATGGTTAAGGAGTCCGTGTAGACGTACTTTTATAGCAGAGAATAAAATTACACCAACTGAATCACAGCGTAGGGGAGAGCCCAAACCGGTCCGAGCCAGCTTCTCTGCATGCCAGTCTGTCCATCTGCAGCCACTGCCATTCATTTCGAAAGTGGGGGGAACACAAGGAGCTTGTGGATCTCGAATGACTTCCACCGCTGTGCTGGGAACCTCGTAAATGCTCCAGCAATGGAACCCAGGCCAATAGTTTTGGGTTCACAGTAATTGCATACGTTTTATTTATGATCCTCCCTAGCAGTATGCACCTGTTACCTAAAGCGATGGAGCAGGCCCCAGTCGTAGGTCTGGTTCTCCACCTGGGCCTCCCGCACGAGACTTAGCACCTCCTGTGGCCTCTGCTCTGTCACTTTGCCTTGCGATTCTAATGTAGTTTGACTTGAATAACATAAAATAACATATATAATGTTATTTATGTTATTTTCCACGTGAAGAACTCCTGTAAACCTTGCCGTTTTGAAACTCAGTGAGGCAGGCGTCTTAGACAAGCTGAAAAACAAGTGGTGGTACGATAAAGGTGAATGTGGACCCAAGGACTCCGGAAGCAAGGTTAGTCGTCACACTCCGGGGCCTCGTCTTGTGCTCACAGGGCCCGCGAGCGTTTGTCACAGGGCGCCGACCCACTCACCCGCCTTCTCAGAGAATTGCAGCCCGCACCCCCACTGCTCAGGCTTGGGTTACAACTCAAATTATCCGCAGAAGCACATACACTAATAAAATTCCTCCTGTGACCCTCAGACTCACATAACACTAGCGCGAGCAGCGCTTCTTGGTTAGGGTTGCGCTTGTTTCGGAGGCGAAGGCCCCGAAACCCGTCGTTTCAGGAGCTGATGCCTTCTCAAAACAGAAGTGGGGAATTGTCCGGTAGCCATCCAGAGAAGGATCTTAAATATTCACCCTGTGGCATTCAGAAGTTCAGTCTTTTGTCACTACGGTGCCAAGCATTCCACTTTAGTTTGAAGAGGCCCAGTTATAGTTTCGTGCTGACGGATGCGCAGCGGACTTTCCTGTTCGGTTCTACCGAAATGCTCTTAGTAGATCAGCATTTACGGATAATATCTCAAGTTAAGATCTCTCATTCGTGAATTCTTCTTGGTGCAATGCAGAGATCCAGAGACCTGATTCCACTGAGTACAAATAAAAAGGGTTACAAACAGTTACGTTTCCATTCTAAAGGAAAAAATGTAACAATGTATCAGTGAATCTAATTACCTGCGCAAATTCATAGAATGTAACGAGTGCCCAAAAGGAGCTGAGGATTCTTGAAATCTTCTTTTATTTTTTTTTCTTTATCTTCTTTAAAAGAAAAAAATATTAGTTATTCTAAGACATGAAACAAATAAATGGCTTAAATAGGAGAGTCTCCATTCACTTAAGAATGAGACCAAGTAATGTCACTTGATACCTTTTCTGGGCTTATCCCTACGTTTTAATCAGTTTTTTCCTGCCTTTGAACCAGAGTGGAATGAGACAAGCTTGGCCAAATAATGAAATACTTATCTCAAATCCCTATGTCAAGCCAGAGAAGCATAAATATTTAATGAGCGATGATTTTAAAAATGAAGTGACCCTAAATTTTGGCCCAATCAGCTAATGTCATGGCTAATTGGACAGTGTACATAGTACATCTTTTGAATTCAATAATCTGCTAATAAAACTAAGTGTCTGGATCACATTTTGCACAAAACCTACAACTGGGAAGATGATGGCCACAGGGCATCCTACAGGGAATCTATCCAAAATACTCTCTCAAATCTTGCTATGTAATATACGTAGTTCCAATTTATGAAAAAATTCTGAAGTCTTGTTACAATTTTAGTATTTTCCAATCATATGCTTGACTATTTCCAAATTTATTATGAGATAATATGTATGCTAAAGCTCTGGAGAATAATATGTCTAAACTATTAACTGATTAAGTATTTTTAACTGGGAATGGAATCTTATTTTTAAGTCAGTAAAAATAATCATAAATTTGTCCATATGAAAATAATTTGTCTCAATTAACCATGGTAATTTGTATATTTTTAAGTTATTTTTAAAAAGTTACCTAAATGTGATGCATACATAATTATTCCTAAGTAGTATATAATATGTAAAAGTGACACTTTCTGGAAGATCTCCCATACACCTATGACTGAAAGAAAAAATAATGTGTACCCTAGCACATTATTTACATATATTTGGTAAAGCAACAGTGAAGAAAATGTGAAACTGTTAGCTAAAAAAAAAAAAAAAAAAAAAAAAAAACCAACGAAACTTAGTTCCTTAAGCAGGAAATGTGAAGTGAGATTTATACAAGAGAAATTTCAAACATTGAAAGTATATGGAATAGCAGGAAAGCCAAAAGACATCCCCTTCCCATGTAACTGGGTTTTAAATATGCCATTTTCAAACTTAAATAATAAGCCCACTTCTGCCACCCTGTGTAAATATATAAATGCTTTTATATGGCTAGGTATAGTGGTTTTCGCTGCATATTTAATAATGATAAAACGTTACAAATTTTATTGAATGTAATTACACACAGTTTTATTGGTAATCATCATAATTTCACTTCTCCTGAGAGTTGGAAGCTTTATGCTTAAATCCATAAACCTCCATCAGTGATTTATACATGTAAATAATTTCAGGTTGCATTAGGCATTTGCTTTAATTAGCTGTTTGGATTTCGTGTGTTCTTTTGCCTTCTGGATGTGACATTTCCGCAGTTAACTGAGATGTCTTTATCTCCCCCAGGACAAGACGAGCGCCTTGAGCCTGAGCAACGTAGCAGGCGTCTTCTACATTCTGGTTGGCGGCTTGGGCTTGGCTATGCTGGTGGCTTTGATAGAGTTCTGTTACAAGTCCAGGGCAGAGGCGAAGAGAATGAAGGTGGCAAAGAGTGCACAGACTTTTAACCCAACTTCCTCGCAGAATACCCAGAATTTAGCAACCTATAGAGAAGGTTACAACGTATATGGAACCGAAAGTATTAAAATTTAGGGGTAGGACTTAGGGCTTACTACAGTGAGTGGGTGATGCATCCTGTAACTGCAGTGTTGTGACCTGTCTGTCCAGTGGTGACGTTGCTTGCTTCTGATTAGAGCTTTTATATTTTTTAAAAACTTCAGTGCAAAGTGGTTCGGTTTTCTTTGGCTGCGGATGCACTGTTCGAAACTGTATGTTGCCAATAGATATCTGCATTGAAAGGGTCAGAAAGACAAAATCAAACCCCCAGGATTGCTCTGCAAAATGATCTGAACAGTATATCCTACTCGAAATTTGGGAGAAAATGGAAATTAGTTCTGGGTTTCCTTGTCCATGTAGCAGGCTAATCTACTTGGAACAATCCAATTTTAGGAGAACTCACAAAATCGGCATAAAACCATTTCAAGCGATCAAAGCTTAGTTTAAGGTTGCCTATTTTGATATGGTTATGTATTTTCTGAGAAGCAACTCCAAGCACATAGTAAGGACTCGGAGAATTTTAGCTCCTATTCTGTTTCACATTAACCATCATTCTATATTTTTTTAAGAACCAAACCCTGCTGTTTGCTCATCTGACAGTACCTTGAGCCAGACCTTTAGATAGGAGTGATTGTCAGAATATTGACTCCAATTCATATTTATTTAGATGAATTTCAACTTTCACCTTCACAGTATCACTAAGGTGGATATGCATTTTAGGCAAGACAGCAGTTTCCCCATCAAAGATGTCAGCAATGCATGTGTTCTTCAGGGGGACACAGGAAAAGATAAAAATTGCAGTGAATTATTACGGCCTTTTTTTTTTTTTTCCATTTCAATTGTTTTTAAGTAGGCCAGAGCAGCCCCACTTACTCATATCCTCCCACTGTGTCACAATAAAACATTGTAAATATTCAGTGAAATGTAGGAAATGGAGATAAATTTTTAAGAATCTAAGTGTCCACTACTTTTATTCCTCGAATGATAGAAAGTGGTTTTAAAATAAGATCTGAAAGCATTTGTTACTGCTTTTCCTAAAATCAGGTCTCTAAGACCCATTTTCTAAGATTATATATAATAGTCAACTGAATGGGCTGCTCACTCTGATGACAATGATAAATGAGGCTTTGAACCCACAAGAGACATTCAGTGCTTGATGGACCCGAGAGTCAAAAACCCAATATAATTTTCATAAGATGTACATCTGAGGTTATGCCAGGTAAATAACGCTTGTTTTTTATATTTGTGGTTATAAAAGCTATCGAAACACTTGGTTAATGTCTTAAAACAAAGAACAAAAGTCATTCCCTTTTACAAAGATCTAGTTGCTTCTATCCATAATCTAGAAATCAATGGATTACTGAGTGTAACTATACATAGATAAGCCCCACATGGCTCTTTCCCAATTTTGTGTAAAAGAATTAAGAACAAGACCCTACAGTTCACTCAGATCAGAATGTTTTGAGCATGTCTTCTGATAGCAAAACAACAAACAAGGAAACTTTCAAGGTCTCTTGACCATTATACAAATGCTGTTATCTTAATAATTATACAGTTGAGAGATTTTCTCAAACTGAGAAAAACAATATGTGACAGGTTTTCAGAGTCAGTTATTTGGATTTTATTCTGGAATGAATTTTATATCTTAAAAAGGGGGGCTTTTTTGTTTTGGTTTGGTTTGGGTTGGGTTTTTTTTTGTTTTTTTGTTTTTGTTTTTGTTTTTTCTTACAAGTCATTAAAACTGATTTTTCTTTGGCAAAGCAAAAGCATTCCAATTATCAGCAAGGTCCAAGGGTAAGGTTGCAAAGAAAAGAAAAAGAATATTAGAAAATTCTAGAAACAAACACTCATGGATGCCAGTTAATTACCAAAATCTGGGAAGTTGCTAAAGAGATATAAATTCCCAGGTTATGTACATACAGTTCACATGTAATAATGTTTTTGGAGTCCGAACCTGGCATTACAACGTATCACATGAATTGCCTCTACAGTTGGGGTTAAACTTCTAAGACAATAAATTTCAAATAAAATACAAAGCATTCCTGTCCATGACTTTTAAAAAGACTTAATGGCATTCAGGGTAAATGAAATGATTTGCACCTAAGAAGACTTGACAACTGTTACTGTACTCTCATACAAGACGGCTTTTTCCTTTCAAAAACTCTGTTGGCCACAATTACCCAAATTTTTGATAATCTAAATAATACTGTCCTAGAATGCCGAAAACAAAACCTGAAACCTTCAATATAGAGAATATTTACTCTAAAAATGATTATCCCTCCGGGAACACGTATAGTCCTAGCCTTTAGCCTCAACAATCTAAACAGACCCAGACCACGTGTAAATTTATAAGAATTTGAGCAGCCTCAGTGGGTTCACAGCAAAGCTGAATAGAAATGATATTTTAAGGAAGAAGCAGGAGATAGAAGTATAAGAAATAATAATGCTAAGATTTTAAGAGAAAATAGGAGCTGTCAAAGATTTATTAACTATTACACTCCGTTGCATTCATCTACAGAGAAGGAAAGATTACTTGAGAGCACATGGTTCCTGTTTGGGGTATTTTCCTTTCTTCGCAAAGGCAATCAAGAAAAGAAAGGAAACACAAATTTTATAGCAAGAGCCTTCTGAAAAAAAAATCCCTTCCAAAAATTATAATGCTTTTGTTAATTGTATTTCTTCTTCAAAACAAAACAAAACAAAACAAAACCAGTAGGTTTTAAAAAATAATTATTTTATTTAATATTAAATGTTGAAAGTGAATCTGAGGAAACAAATTCAAACTTTGGTTCTGGTTCATTTAATTTAGTGATGAGTACTGTAGAGATTGCATCCTGATTTCTAATTTTTTTGAGACTATTCACTAAAGAAAAACTATGATAATGACCTTGGTTTTTATCATAGATAAGTCATTAACTAGCAGTTTGACCTTATCAGGGTATCTGATCTCTAAACCTTTACATTATACCATTTTCTACTCCTATCACTAATTTCATTATTTAATATATCGTGACTCTAATACTTAAGTTCCAGAGCAGAGTAAATATAGGGATGGAATTCTTAAAGAATTAGGTAAACCTAAATTCGCCACAGGGAATTAAGATATATTTTGAGTTACGAGAAATAAATGATCTATGCCATAGCAGACTTAGGCAGTATCTCGTTTGCCTTATTTTCCTCTTGAGTTAACATTAAAATTCAGTTACTAGAAAAAAATGTGAAGGCAAATGAACCAGCAGTAAGTAGATTTACATAAAAACACTGCCTGTCTCTCTTCTGTGTAATACTGTTATCTGCTCCTGACTTAACCTGACAGAGAACAGGAATTTAATGAGGATTTCGGAGACCTGACCCCTTAACATCTCAGTCTGGGAGGTTCCCCAGCAGTGAGGAATTGAAACATACTCCCTTTCAGTGCACCCCCCCTTGAAACACTTAGAGCCTCCGGAAACATCAGTCAGCTTCCAGAGTAGGCCCGTCACTAACTCTGCTGTTCTGGGTCATGTCTACCCCTGGTGTGAATGAATGAAGGTGTCTGTGGATAGGTCTGTGTTCCGAAGGCCGGAAGATCTGTCGTGAATAGTCCGCAGTTTGTTTAGACAACTCATCACAGTTTTGAGGATAACGCCCGCGCTGTAAAGACATTTCCTGGCAAGAGCAAGAGGCTCAATTAGAAACGTTGTCCACCTAGAGGAGAATTTTAAGCTGGCCCAGAAGTACCAGGGGGTAAAGGACCGCAAGGCGAAGGCTGTGTCCCGCCCAGACTTGCCGAACAAAACCTAGGGTGACGATTTCCAAATTAGTTCTGAAACAGGTAGGACCACAAACTCCCGTCCGATTTATTCTTCACTATAGTTGAGCTTCCCTTTCCCATAATGCGCAGTTTTCACACGACCAAAAGAATATTGGAAAAAATGCAGATGTCTAATTATTGATATCTTGGTGTTTGTTGTGTTGCCTTTTGTCGCAGAAGCAGAAACATTGTAACAGTCCACACTCTTTCTGTTTCCTTTCCATGCACCCAGCTGACCTTTTCTGAAGCCATAAGAAACAAAGCCAGATTATCCATCACTGGGAGTGTAGGTGAGAACGGCCGCGTTCTGACGCCCGACTGCCCCAAGGCTGTACACACGGGAACTACAATTAGACAAAGTTCAGGATTGGCTGTCATTGCATCGGACCTACCATAAAAACCAAAAACATAATCGAGTGCCTTAATCAAACTGTGTTGGTGACCGACGGGAGCGCGGCCCGGGGCGCGCCGAGCAGGTGCCCTGGACCAGGCCTCTGGCCAGAGCGGGCTGTGCGTCCTGATGCTCCCCGTTCCGCAGCAGCAACGCGTGCATGAGCTCAGCTCGGAAGCCCAAACTCAGATTTTCTATCAGGAAAACTCACAATTTAGGTTTTTTCGGGGAGCGGGAGGGTGGGGAGGGAGCTGGGATGGGCGTATTAACAGCAACAAATTTCACTCGAGTGGACTTAAAAACTAATCAGACTTGCGAGTTAGCGCATCAAACTGTGAAGTTCTTGCTCAGAAAGGCCTGTCTTCACCGCAAGGGATAAACTAGTTAGAGAAGTCAGTGAACATGCTAACGTGCGTCTCCAGAACACCCACGTGGTCCGTGGGAGACTCCAGCTGAGAAAACACAGCACGAAACTGTGATCGGAAAATAATCAACACTCATGTAAATCCTGTGAAAAAATTTAAAGGATGTATTTACACTTACTTTGGAGAAAACAAATACTGAAACATGCTTGCTTTTTAACTGACGTAAATTCAGTAGAGGACAACACAATTCTTTTTTCTAACCATCTTAGGGAAAAATACATTGCAATAATTGATATGCCATCACTGTAATAAACTTTAGAGACTTTTTTTTTTTTATAAAAGTCGGTCATCTCCTTGTTGCAAGTAACCTACGCTCTGTCACATAGTCGGTGTCCCCAGATCGCGTTTGTCTCACTACCGGAACACAAACACAAACGAAGACAGCATTACCGTGAAATCATCAGTCTGCAATGTAGAATCAAAAGAGACTACGGGTCACTCATGGTATCGATGTTATTTATAATCTTGTTCTGTGTACAAAATTGTGGTTTTTGTACCCACCAAAAGAATAAAACTGCGGACGTTCTTACAATATCTACAGAGCTTAAAGTTTGTTTTTATCGTTAATAAAAGTTATTTGAGAAATTACAAGACTATGTAGGAGGGATGATAGAAGTCAAGTATGGGCCATATTATAGCTCTTATTTCTGCATAATAAGCTTACCCACTTTTACAGGTGTTTGCCTTGTGAGCAGGTGAAATCGTCACAGATGACGTGTTTGAATTGGGGAACGACCTGTTGTCATTAACAGCAACATACCTGTCATCGCGTGTTGAAATTTTACTTGACTGTATTTTGCTGCATAAAATAATGTGTCTCTTGGGTTTCTCCCCGCCCCCATTCCCCTTGTTCCGTTTAAATCACTTGAAGGCACGAATAGTAATTTGTAGTAGACAAAAAAAAGAAGAAGAATTTGTTCTTGTTTTTTCAACTGGAAATGGTGAAGAAAATTATACCCGTGTTTATTTCCCAAACCCACCTTCTGTTATGTGTGGATTAAATTAACGTGGCTCAAAGGAAGGTTTGGATCCCTTGAAATAATAAATGAGTACTAGAGTACAGCTCGCCATCACACGACGTAGAGATCTTGGCAGAAAGCACAGGTTAGGATGATTTTGGAAGTGTGGCCTTGAAGGACGAGTTCCGCTTCCACAGGTGGAGAAGCCGTGGAGCGCCTTCGGGGCGAGCCGGGGTCCCGCGCGGAGCGTGTCCGGGCCTGCCACATCCCGGAAGATAAAGCTGGAGAAGGTGAAGGACCCACCCGCTTGCTTCCATCTGGAGATTTCCATCCCCCGCGATCTGTGCGCTACAGTAAAGAGCCACCTCTAAAAGCGCAGGTCCCGTGACCCACGCACGGTCCCCTCAGGAAAAGGCCCAAGCTCTGAAGCAGAGCAAGTGAGTCCCTCCGTGACCTGGTCCCTGCTGCTCCCTCCCGTGACGTCCACCCCGGGCCCAGCCTCCCCCGCCCGCACACGGGACGCGGCACCTGCTCTTTCCTGGGCTGTCACTTCCCCGGTCTCTTTCCCTGACTAACTTGGACTCCTCCTTCAGCACCAGATGGAACCGTGCCTGGCCCAGGAAGGCCTCCACACCAACCCGCCCGCCCGCTGCCCCCGGGACCGGGTCAGAGGCCCTTTTCGTGTTTTGTCCCCATCAGGGCGTCTGCCCTGGACCGCACTGTACTTGCCTGTGTGCTTGTCTGTATAACGTCAGACTGTAAGCTCTTTGAGGGCAGGATGTCTCTCCCGTTCACAGTTGTATCCCCAGCACCCAGCACAGTGCCTGGCGTATTGTAGGTGCTTAATAAATATTTGTTGGATGAATGAATTGAATCGAATCAATTTACTTAAGTGGAAGCACAAAGACAGTATCTTTCCTCATTAACAGTCCCTAGCGTGTGTGTTAAGTAAAGAGCAGGTCAGAACGAAGGCTGGGGGCGCCCGGGTGCTCAGTCGGTTGGGCGACCGACTCTTGATTTCAGCTCAGGTCGTGATGTCAGGGTCGTGAGATTGAGCCCCAGGTCGGGCTCCGTGCTGGGTGGAGTCTGCTTGATACTCTCCCTCCCTCTCCCTCCACCCCTCCCCCCCACTAAAAAAAAAAAAAAAAGGCTGAAGGATGGCTGATTTCATGACGTTGTCCGTCGCCCCGGAAGAAGTGTGGCTAAAAAACAAAACAAGATACCTGACAAATTTTCTGATCGGAGGAGACGTTATTCCGTGTAATTGTACCTAGCTGTGGAATGATGTGTTTAGCTAGAGAAATTGTCTTAAGGTAATTAAATAACCCAAACCAGGGTTCTGGCTTGGTCTTTACCCATTCTTCTAAAGATCTCTTTCATTTAATTCTCGGAGTGGATAAGTGATGAGAAGGTAAAAAGTTATATTTCTCATAGTTTAATTTCTTCTTTTTGTATTGTTTTCTTTCTGTATTAGTATCATATAGTTAAATTTCTGTATTTCTCATGGAATAATTCTGCCAAAACCAAAATGTTAAATCTGCCATCAGTACAAAGGGATACCCTATCTGGTCTCCAATCTGAGGAAATGCTATAAAGCTAGGTAATGTGATTTTAACACATTTATGTTTAAATTAAGTTAAAAAAACATTTAAAACATTTAGTTCCATGAAGAACTCCATTATCAGGCAAGCAAGATGACCATCTAGTGCAGCATTTCCTGAATGTATCAGGCAAAACCACTTTGGAAGCTACATCAGCTGGTTAAATGTATACGATGACCACCTTTGAAGGCTGTAAAGGACCCTCAGGAGAACCACTTTGTTACAGTCAATTCAATAGCTACTAATTAAAAATGCCAACCGCCCCCCACCGCCGGTCCAGCCCTAGCTTCGGGCTTGCTCCATGCTGCGCCCTGGTGTCCACACCTGCTGTCAACTCATTCATCCATTCCCCCAAGGCATAGCACACAGTAGGTATAAAATACGTATTTGTCAATGCTAAACACAACTTCAGTTACTACGTCAGTATCTGTGAAAAAACATGCTCTACTAATTTCCCCAGAAAACAATATCCCAATTTGCAACACCAATGAAGGGCAGCTAGAAATAAGCACCAAATGAAAGTGACATCGGGGGAGTTTCTGAAGAGACGGTGCGGATTCATTTGTCTTCTTAGCATGAGGCTGCATGAAAAGTGCACCTTCTCAAGCACGTTCGTAAGCAGCTTTTAATGTCGGACGGCGCGCCAGGCTAGCGTGCCTAGCATTTGTCGGAGCCCACGCACGTGTGGCAGGGGCCGTGCTTACAGAGTTCCTAACAGCACCAGGAGTCTTGTCAGAAGAGGACTGTGCTTCTTTATGAAAAGATGTTGATCCATTAGAAAGAGCGAAAGATGAAATTTGGAAATTGTACTTCAAAAAAAAAAAAAAACCAGGAAGCTAAATTATTTCCCATGAAATAGAATAACCTGTTTATTTATGTTGCTTTGATTTTATTGTCTTTGGAGGGAGTGGTGGGCGGGCAGGGTTGAGGGAAAATAAAAGATAAGGCAAAGGAGACGTTAAGAAAGCAGAAAGCTGGCAAAAGTCCGGTAGTGCGCCCTCGTGGCCCAAAGAGCTCAGGAGAACGGGGCTGTTGGACAAATGGTTTTCCACTGTGTGGTATGTAATGAATGTCTGATAAAGTCCTCTTCCCACGACCTGCTTACAAATTTTCCTACGAGCCCCAGGCTGGTATTTGTGGTCGGATTAAAGGGAGTCAAGGAGAAAATTCTAAGTCCCATATTTGGGTTGATGCTAGGCCAGAAATAACCCTAATAACACGTCTCCTTCCCACAGAAATGGGCAGAAATTTAGATTGAGACTTGTCCTTCCGCATGGCAGAGAGCAAAGTCTTGTTCAATTTTTTCTGGATCTGGAGAAGATGGTAGGTGTGAGAGGACCCTACGATACATACATAAATAAATATTCTATTAAATTATAATGCCTAAGTCATGGCGCCCATGAGGGGGTGACTTAGGAGGTTTGGAATCCTGGAATCCTGAACGCAACATGAGCCTGCTCAAATAGATTATCATGACTTCCTCCTCCGTGTCTTTTCATTGGACCAACACTTCTAAAGTTCCTAAATATTTAGCAGTGGATACAAACTGTCAATATTTCCAGTAGTTTGTCTCACTTTCCACTCCAATGACACCTAATTACTGCTCACAGCTAGTTTTCCAAGCGTTTCACGTTCATCCCCTTCTAAGTTTGCTGATTATTACCTCTCCCTGCAATGCCCCTGCCTCAGACGGTGGTCCAAGCTATAACCAACAGAGCGCACTAGACAGTTCACAGAATCTCTGGGAAAGACAGAGTATCTGGCGGAAGGCAAAGCAGGCAAGATCAATACCAAAATCACGTCACTGACCTGCCCCCAGGCCACGTCCAGCTTACAGTGGACACGTATGTAAGAAGCAAGGACACTGAGCAAGGAACTTCTGTTTGTACCGTCTCTGAGCATGGGGTGTCCCCCCCCCCCCCCCCCCGGTTGGATGCTCTATTTCCTTCCCAGGAAACAGGCTCCACGCACAGCCTCTTTCACATCAAACCTCAGGAAGGAATATCTAGGTCGGGTGCTCGGTGGCCTGGGATCTAGCAGCGAGGGAGACGTGGAAACCAAGCACTGATTTCTACCTTAGGGAAGCACAATGTGGAAAATAAATACAAGAAGAGTTAAAAGAATCTGAATGGGCACAAAATGTGGAATATCTCCCATTTCTTTTTTTTTTTTTTAAAGATTTTATTTTTTATTTATTTATTTGAGACAGAGAGAATGAGAGACAGAGAGCATGAGAGGGAGGAGGGTCAGAGGGAGAAGCAGACTCCCTGCCGAGCAGGGGGAGCCTGATGCGGGACTCGATCCCCGGGACTCCAGGATCATGACCTGAGCTGAAGGCAGTCGCTCAACCAACTGAGCCACCCAGGCGCCCTCCCCTGTTTCTTTATGTCTAATACCCACTCGTCCATCAAGAAGTGTTATAGACATCATCTCGGGTACACAGCCCTGATTCCCTAAGCTTGGAGATCACTTTTTGCTTCCCTATGGCTTGTGCTTACCTCCACGTGGACTTAGACCACTGTTTCATGATTATTTTTAGAAATGTCTCCACTTGATCTCTCCAGACTCACCGGTGACATAGAGAGCAATGAGGAGTACAGAGAACACAGTTTGAGCTGTAGACCCAGACAAAGCGAGATGCAAATCCCTTTTCTGGAGCTTACTCTTTGGTCTCCGGAAGAAGCCTGTTGTCTCATATGTAGAATGGGAACAAGAATACCTAGCATTTGAAGTTTCTGTGAGGTCAAAAATGAATGTTTATAGATTGCTTGTCACAGCCCCAGAGCTCAGTGGGAGCCCTGTAAACAAAACTACACTTAATTCATCTCTGTAGCCTTGGGCTTCTGCTTCTGCCTAGGAAATAGAAAGCTGAAGGGAGAAAAAAAAAGTTATTTTCTCGGAAGCCAAATAATCTACACAGTCTTAACTTCTCTCGTGTGACTCAGAAAGCTGCTCAAGTAAACTGAATTCCACAGAAGGACACGTGCCTTCAAGGAGAAATGGGATACACAAATAGTTTCCCGTCTTCAGGAGAGAGGGGATGGTGCACCAGTGACCGTGACATTGTGGGCAAGAACCGAGCTGAAATATTAACAGATTCTTAAGGGCCAAGTGTGGCTAGGATGCAGGTGGAAATAGCTGAGGATACTGGACCAAGAGAATCTGAACTCACTTGTAAGGCTTTTTTCATGGTCCTCAACTGAGCGTTTCGAAGAAGGGGGTCAGGGAAGAGCGGAAGGCCGGACAGAGATCCCCTTGATGGATAGAGCAGGTGGGCATGAGGCGGACAGCACCTGCGGGGCTGGGGGCCGCGGACACCCTCGAAATGCCCTGCCTCACTGCCAGACCTCTCTCTTCTACAAATCAAAAGTCGCAGGGTCCTGAGCAGGGCCAGCAAATCTTTTCGTCTCCGTGGCATGAAGACAACCTTGCTTCTGGAGAAGGGGCTGAAGCACACGTCCCCTACCTCTGCAGGAATTTCTCGCCCAAGACGGACTACAGTTTTGCTTGAGGCGATGGGAGGACGGAATATTGGGGAAGTCTCACCCTGCGGGCTGTGAGGTGAAGGGAAACGTGCCTGCCTCTGGCGGCTGCTGAATTGCACCCAGGAGAATGCTAGCTTGCTGGCTGGCGGCAGGGGCCTGGTGCTCAGGAAGCAGTCGCACCTGCCGCCCCAGGAGGCAGAGAAGCGGGGAGCGGGGAGCGGGGCGGGGCGTCCACTGGGATGCAGCTGTGCAGGGGCGGCCGGGTGGGACTACATTGAGGAAGATCCCAGAAGTAAGGGGTTCCGAGAGCTCCCGGGTCAGGGAACACAGCCACCTTCCGGGAGGGACAGGAGCTCCTGCACCCGGGACCCTCCCCGACCGGGCTCCAGGCATCCTTCTCCGGCTGTTCATCTGTAAACTGTATCATAGCTTTTAATAAACCAATAAACGTAAGTACGTGCTCGCCCTGATTTCTGTGAGCAGCTTAGCAAGGAATGGAATCCAAGGAGGAGAAGTTCATGGGAACCTCTGATTTGTCGCCCAAACCAACGGAGGGGGTGGGTAGCTGGGGACCTCCTCGCTGTGGGTGTCCGAAGTGGGGTGGGAGCAGCTTCGTGGGCATCCGCCCTGAACCTGTGGGACCTGACACGGTTGGCTCAGCGTTGGGTGCCATGGAGAATTGCTAGATGTGGGGAAAGAACCCACACATTTGGTAACCAGATGCGTCAGAAGGGTTCTACGTGAGGAGTAGAGAGACACATGGAAGGAACACTACCGAGTTTTTCTAACACAGTTGGTTATATTTCTAGACCACAGTGGGCAGTCTCAGTGAACCATTACCATTTTAAACCATTTACTCATTCAAAAAGCATTTATAATGGGGTTGAACATTAAGAATAAGTTATTTCTTTAAAGGAATCGAATTTCTCTTCCAGGCCAATGAGGTCAATGAGGCATTTGCTGCAAGAGTGAAATTTAAGGGGGAGCTGAAAAGTCAATAATCAAGGTAAATAACATTTTAAATATTTTTAAACATCAAGATGTTTGTAAAATGTATCAAAAATTTAAAGATAAGATCTAGAGTTGCATGCCAAACCATCTAAGACCTCAAGGTTAAAGAAAAAAATATGTCCCTTTATACATTTTTTTATGTTTAATGGTTAGCTTTATTGCAGAATATTAAGGTGATTGAAAATTTCAAAAATAGATGTATTAAAACCCAAAGCATTCATTTACGTTTAATTACTTTGTATTAAAACAAAATTATCTTTTTTTACTTTCTTGGTTTAAGGGAAGCAGACTCCTCAATAATACTTTCAAAATCCACTTCTTTTCAATTGAGAGAACTGACATTTTTGACAATTTTTTTTGGCTAAGGACAGATCTTAAATAATTGGTAATGAACTTCAGCTTACTGAAACACCTTTTGCATGGTGCCATTTTTGAATTTCAATATATTCATTTTTTTAATTTTCAAATTTTGATATCTTGCTTATCAAGCATTTTTGCATTAATTTTTATTTTTAAAAATATGACATTAAAATATCATGTGTCAATTCCTGAAAGTTTTGGGGCACCAAGGGAGTGCCATGTCCTGGGCTCCAGCACCAGCCAGAGAAAGTCTCTTGCCCACACCAAGCACGACCACGCTGTTTCTGAGTCTGTCCAAGGAGTGCCTTCTGATGGGAAACTCCTCTCTTCTGTTTGTGACTTGGGTGACAAAATCGACCCAGGACTCCTCTCAGGGGTCACTCCCTCTTTGAAGCTTCTCTTGACCCGCGCTCAGGAAAAGGTGGTCCTCCGTTCTCAGACCCCACTAAGTCCTGTCCGTGTTCTGTCAGATCGTGTGTCTCCGCCAGATGCGTTCGCTGTCAGCCACGCAGGGAAGGAGCTGTCTCGCGCGGCCATGTAACATGTATGCCCGCAGAGGACTTAAATACTGAATGGAGGGAGGGAGGGAAAGAGAGAGGGGGACAGAATAAAGGAGAGAAGCAGGGTAGAGAAGAACAGACAGCAGCCTAATAAAAAAGAAGGGCATGGACGGTTATGGGATGCGAAGACCCCTGGGTTGACCTACTTTTTTCTCTATTTGGCTACCTAAGTCCATACTCTTTCAGTTTTAAGTCCTAGAAACTCCAACTCAAATGACTTAACCCCCCCGACAAGGTGATGGTGGGGGGTGTTCTAAAATTAAACCCAGGATTTGGGGCGCCTGGGTGGCTCAGTTGGTTAAGCGACTGCCTTCGGCTCAGGTCATGATCCTGGAGTCCCGGGATCAAGTCCCGCATCGGGCTCCCTGCTCGGCGGGGAGTCTGCTTCTCCCTCTGACCCTCCCAACCCTCCCCCCTCTCATGTGCTCTCTCTGTCTCTCTCTCTCAAATAAATAAATAAAATCTTTAAAATTAAACCCAGGATTTAATTTATCGAGGCCTGACTGTGGCCAATGACACCGAGAGGCTTTTAGTAATGGCATTTGACGCCCCACCACACAGGGCTGCAGGGAAAGCAGCAAGAAAGCCAAGGCCGGAGCTCCTGGGGGAGTTTCTGTGGGGAAAGTGAGGCAGGGCAGGGCAACAGTTTAGGATTGGCCAGACTGAATATGGCGCAGGATCTACGCTGTAGGGGCTGGCTCTAGCTGTCTGGTACCTGACACTGGGTTGATTACAGGTAGGCGGGAATATTAGCTTGGCCTGTGTGAGTTTGATAAAGGGGGTCCTGGGGGTCTAGGCATCGGCTGGTTTGCATGTGAAAGGCATCCTCCAGGCCTGCACAACCCCTAAGAACCGGCTAGTCCTGGGAGGAACAGTCTTTCCCCAGATCGGTGACAAATGCCAGAGCATGAAGAAAACAGACAATCAGAAGATATGATTCATGTAATTGACCTTGTGATGAAGGGAGGCCCAATGGACAAATCACAGAATCTAAGAAAATGCGGAACAGGGAGAAATTCATTGATTTGTGAGGCTGAAAATACAGAATCATCTCCAGTAACAGGTAAGGTTTGATCGAGCAGTTCAAATAACATCCTCAAGGACTCAAATTCACGCTCTCTATTCAGCCTTCCCTGATAGGCTCCATAAGGGACTTCCCAACTGCACCCTCCATGTAGCCAAAACAGCTCTAAAACCTGTCCAGACAGCTCATCTTTATGGGGAAGCTAAGATGTCAATAGGAAGCATGGAAGCTTATCTTTCACAGAAGGTCCAACAAACACATTGGCTCTGAATGGGTATGTGCCTGAATTTGAACCGACCACTGTCGCAGGAGAATGGGATATGTGGATAGGCTTCAGCCCCTCATCGATATTCCTACAGTGTGACGTCAAGTTAACCCTCCTTGGACTGTGAAGATGAGAGATACAGTGATTTCTGGAAAAAAATAATCAGTAAACCCAGGAAGATTAAAAAATTAAAAATTTTCACATTCCTGGTCCAGTCCTTGGATCACAATAGTAAAAGAGCCCAGAGTCCCCTTCTTTTCAGTACAGACTAGCTTAGCTGTATCAGGGCAGTAAGATTACCCACTTGGGGGTATTTAGAAAAACAGAATACACAATTTATTATGTGTATTTTAACAAGTGGATATCTGTCCCAGATGTTACCAATATTACCAGTTCCATCTTGGTTACCCTACGCAGTGCTTTTTTACTAAAGCAGTCTCTCATGTCTTGGCCCACATCAAATGTGCTAACGTTTTAGCCGCGCGCTTGGGATGAAGTGGAGGATGTTTAGGGCATCTACACAGCAAGTACGTCAGAATGAAAATCTTTATCAACCTGTTCGTTTGCAGAGCCATCAAAAGCAACATGAGCTCTGGGTCAGGACACAGGTCATCTTCAATGGGAAAGAGAATCCTCCAAGTGGTAGCGTCAGCTCGGAGACCGCAAGGCCAAGCCAGGTCTACTCCTGGCGTGCATGTGTACGATGCGGCCCAAGGAACAAAGTCCCTGGACACACTTGGCCACCAGCGCCTGCTCTGTGGTTAGGGAGCACTTCTCAGACAGGCGGTGGAGGGGTCATAGCTGGGCGGACTGACGTTTTAACTTTTTTTTTTATTTGATAGAGAAATAGCGAGAGCAGGAACACAAGCAGGGGGAGCGGGAGCGGGAGAAGCAGGCCTCCCGCGGAGCAGGGAGCCCGATGTGGGCTCGATCCCAGGACCCCGGGATCATGACTTGAGCGGAAGGCAGACGCTTAACGACTGAGCCACCCAGGCGCCCTGACGTTTTAACATTTTAACTCAAAAGGACTTCAGGGAGACTTTGGAAGACATGAAGATACTACTTTTTTATATGATAAAATATTCTAATTTTATTCAGTGAAATTAGTTTTGGTTATTTTAAAATTATGGTAGAGAGCGATGGAAATGACAAAGTCCCTGGATCTGAAAAAGCTTTGCTCTGCTGATGGTCACTCTGGGATAGAAAATGAAAAGGTCAAGGGTGAAAGCAACATGATCGAAGGTAAAGGGGGAGGAAATGCATGAAGTATTTGGAGAGCAGCTTGACAAGCATATTTTAGTGATGTGGGTAGGAGAACATCTTAACCAGGGCAAAGAACATTTGAGGACATTACACTTGACTCAGAAGGAATGGGGGGAACTCGTGAGAGGGAAGACAAATTTCTAAAATCTTTGAGCTGATTTCTAGCTTTAAGCTGATTAATATAATACTAAGAATGAGGCTCAGACACACTGTCGGCCCGCCACGCCCCAGCTGATAAAGTAGCGCTGAGACCGGACCTGGGGTCTTTCCAGAACCCTCGTCTTCCATGACTTCACGTCCTGCTAATTCTCAGGACGCAATGAAAGCAGTGCTTGGGGAAATCTATTCTGGAATTGTCGTGCAGGGAGGATTAGAAAGGAAGAAGGACGCAGGAAGCTCTGGAATTGACAGCAAATGGTACCACACTAAGGACGACCCGGGAGGTTGGAGGCGGCAGATGGACTTTGTATTTCAACCTACTCATTTTTTTTTTAAAGGTGAATGGGTCACATCAGGAAAATAAATGGTTAAAAAAAAAAAAAAAAGGGTGTTTCCTGAAGAAATTCATTGAGAAAGTTCTTCTCAGAACTTCTTTATCAAAATTCAAACGGTGTAATCATCATTTTTTCTCACGTCTCACTGATCTCAGTTCAAACAGCAGGGTCGCGATGCCCCTCTGGATAGTGGTAAATTAATCTCTCGAGACTTCAACCAATTTAGCATGTCCCCCCCCCCAGGATAGGTCTTCTTTGGTTGTCTTCTAGCTGTACGTATGCTAAACCGTTTCTGATATGTATACTTCAAAGTGATACATTTGACCGTTCTCCTCTGGGTTTTAATGAAGGCACTGCCTAAAACCGCACCTGGTGGGTATGTGTATAAAGGAGCACATACATCGGAAAGAAGTTACAGATTGGAAAAGCAAACAGGCGGTTAGTATTCTGGGAGCTGTAGAAGGTACAACTTGTGGTCGGAGAACAGCGACTAGAAAGCCTTGACAAATTAAGTCACACAATTTTAAAAATTTACTTTTGGGGAGGGAGAATGTTTGAGCACATGCAGAGCGACCCAGGGAAAAATGTTTGAGTTTGAAACAAACAAAACATAGTGAAGGTCAGAGAGACAGGAAAAGGTAGCTATTAATTTAAAATAAAATACTCTCAGAGCACTAGGATCTGATTTTCTATTCAGGATAGAAGTGACGACGCATGAAGAGGTAGAGGAATGAAAAGAGGGGAGAAGCAAAGCAGTATAAAATGGACAAATGAGGTAGGAAATGAGCGAAGAGAAGCAAGAATTCTCAAGTTACAAAGACTGTTTAATCTGCAAGAAAAAGCCTGAGAGAATACTTTTCTTTTACTGCAAATTTATGGGCCCTTCCTTCTTCTAACTCAGCATCTTTACAAAAGGGCATCCTATGAGCAGGATGAGCGTAGAACTGAATTTCCACACCAGGGTACTTCGGTCCAGGACATACGCTAAGCCACAAGACCGCTGGCGTCAGGAGCATCCCCAGGAAACCCGCATGGAGATGGAGCTGACGATAAAAATGGCCACAGTTCCTCACTCCTCCCCGTATCCCCCTCTTTTGCAGAACCACATCAGGGCTCCTTCTGTGGAGAGTGGACTCCATCCTCCGCTCTCGACTCTGGTCTGGTCCTGTGATTTGTTTTGGCAGAGGCCATGCGGCGGACATGAAGTGCCCGTGCTGGGCCTTGGCCTCAGGACACCTGGAGCATCTCTGCTCTTCCGTTTTGAATTCCTGCCGTCCCCACAAAATCAAGCCTAAGCTGTTTTGTTAGAGGATCGAATACGGAGAGCGGAGTCGCCTCGCACCAGCCAAGTCACCCCACCCGGCAGAAGCTGAACCCCTGGCCGACCTGCAGACCGGAGGAGCCCGGCCACGACCCGAGCCGCCCGAAGGAGCTCAGCCTCATTTCCTCTAAAACCACCAGCAACAGGAGCCCCGAGCTGCGGTGTGGGGACAGGGCCGTGGCTAAGCCCGGGGGCCGGGGGGAGCTCGTTCCAAGTGCGCCTGCCCTTCAGAAACCCACCAGTCGGGTTTTCTAGCGCGGGGAAGCAGCCCAATCCACGCACACTGGGGGAGGGAGAAGAACACCAAGGCCCCGCAGGGCAAGAAGCTGCTGAAGGAGAATAAAAACAACAGTCTCTTCCAGGAACTTGAGTGCCCCACCGAAAAAGAGTATCGCTGTCCTCATGCCTGCTTCTAGGGACTTACAACCGACTCATCTTAAATCTAAACCCGGCAGCCCCCTGCACCGAAGCAGCATTTTAGAGTTTAGATACCGTTCTATTTAAAGCAAACTGGGAACACAGGCAGCGCAGGTGCTGAGGTGTCCCCTTTACGGACGAGGAGATGCCATCGCGGGGCGCATGGAAGGGCTTCGCGCCCGAAGTCCGGGCCCAGCAACGCCCACGCCCCGCTGGCAGCACCTGCAGGCTTCCGCTGCCCCTCCTTAGGGTCAGTTGTGGCATATCCTTCTTCAGGAATGTCACTGAGTGGATGAGGCACTCCTTCCTTTCTTGCAAAAGCAGGGACAACGTGAGGCCCGTAGCCCAAGAGTGGTTTGGGAGAGCGACTGAGATCATGTGGGAAGAGCGCCGCACAGGGCCTTGCCACACACGGGAGCGCTCACTGGGGAGGCTCTCGTTCCGGCTTAAAAACCTCAGGCCCCCCAGCGCGGATGACCACTGCGAACGGTAAGCTTTCAGATAGTTAGTATAGGCAAATGCTATTTCTACGGTAGAAGCATTTATTTCGGTTATAGAAAAATAACACTATTTCAAAGTCAAGGTAACGAAGCAGAAGTATATTTTCTCCTTAGAGGTCCCTACTCAAATATCACGTATGGTGTCAAGACATTCTTAAATTAACAAGGAACAAACGCAGAATCCAGGTTGTTTATCTGTCAACAGGAGGATGGATTAAAGCTACATTGTCAGCCCTGGAAATCAGAAAATACAAAGTGATCTCGTGCAGCGATTCTCAAGGTTAGTGTGCATTGGGACCACCTGGATTGTGGGAACAGCATCTGCGGGGGACTGAAGGGGAGCCACCAGGTTAAAAGCAAGCCCTCGGACTCAGAACAGATACCACAGGGGCCGAAGATACAAACTTTGGTCCTCAGGGAGGGGTAGAGACAAAATACATCACAGACTTTCACTCAGTGTTCCTCCTCTGAGCCTCAGACCCAGGAATACTAATCAATACTACAGATCAGGTCAGACAGTGTGACAAGCGCGTCCCTAATCCATTCACGCACAGCTACTATCATCTTCTCCATCACCACCAGACACAGAGGACGTTCTCCCCTTCCCCTCCCCCACGCCCACAGAGCTGCTAAGATTTATTTAAAAAGTAACCACTGGTTGATTTCAAGCTCACGGACTACCAGTACCATTTCTACATTGGTACCCTTTTTACTAGCTTCAACCTTCACTTACATTAAGATTTCAGTACGTCTGGTTGAAATAACCATTCTTCTACCGAAACTAAGACCGTGAATTCAAAGAAAAAAGAGAACTAAACCCTACACAGCGTGTGTGGCTTCGGAAGCATCAACAGCTGGAGGAATGAACTGCGTTTCAAGGTGACCCATCTTGGACAATTTCTGATATTCCCTGCATTGTTTTCAGAGTCTCAGGTTATAGACGGAAACACGGGGATAAAATACCTACAATCTTCATCACTCCCTATGTTCAAAATACTACACACTAATGTCACATAGTTCAAGGCTTTGGCCACTTAAGTAACTACCCATTTAAATATCTGAGGTTTTAATACTCTGAAACTATAAACCAAAGCTCTGGAGGCGCACAGTCAGGCCAGGAAAGGGCCTCCCCACCTCAGCTGCACTGCTGCGCTGTGTGGGATGATCCGGGGGCGGGGAGCCGGCCGTGCACGGCAGGACACGGCTGGGCCTGCTGGCCCCTACCCACTCCACGCCAGTAGCAACCTGCCCACGCCCCGTCCTGACAACCAAAAAGGTCTCCAGATGTTGCCAAAGGTCGTCCAGGGGTCAAAACCACCGCCCTGTTGAGAACCACCGAGCTAGAAGTTTGAGCTAGAATTTTACGTAGACGTGTCAACTCTGCGTGCACAGATGAAACAAGACCTATGTAATTTTCCTAATTCAAAGAGAACAGCACAACAGATTCTGCTACACCATTTACGCTAGGGCACGTCGTTTTTATGGAATATGCTACTTAAGTATACAGTAACCCACTCTTAACTATCTCTTTCCTATTGAAAACACGGACATTAAGCAGGAAAAAACCCAGAGCTCATCTTGCAACCGTTTTTATAGTACTGGATACAGAGAAAAATCTATGGTTTCCACACATTGGCTCAACGGGGACCGAGCTCCATCACTGCAAGTGTCCCTCCTTCTGAATTCGAAGTCTCTCCTTCTCTACTTGCAAGCGTTCCTTTTCAATCTGCAGCTTCTCCGACTCAAATTTCAAAAACTGCAGCCTATCTTTTTCCAGTTGTAAGCGTTCTCTCTCAAGTTTTAACTTCTCTGCTTCTATGTCCTGTGGCTGAAGCATGGCCTTTTCTCCTTGGCCGAGTTCGTTTTCCAGAGACGGCTTCTCGGAGCTGACGATCTGGAGCCTGAGCTTCTCGCGTTCGATCTGCAGCCGCTCCTTCTCCAGCTGCAGCCGTTCGTGCTCCAGGTCCAGGTGCCGCAGCCGCTCCTTCTCCACCTGCAGCCGCTCCTTCTCCACCTGCAGCCGCTCCGCCTCGATGTCCAGGCGCCGTTTCTCCAGCTCCAGCTTCTGTTTCTCTATGTTCACCAGCAAATGGGGCTCATCGTAGGCCGACCTCGACGGTGTTGAGTTCAGAGTAAAAAATTCATCGATGTGGGGGAAGTCAGGAAGTTCGTTTTCCCTCCTGGAATCCGGTATGACGGAGGACAACATTTCTTCTTCCTCCTCAATCTCAAACTAAAAGGAAAAGGCAACTCTCAGTCTTTATTTCTACTTCACAGTTGCTACTCTGTCTAAACGTGTCCTTAGAAGTTTCTGTATCATTTGAGCAAAGAAAACCATTTCTTTTGAGTTTTGAAAAAATATTTATAAGGAATTACCTGGTGTCACTATACAGTTGACCCTTGGACAACATGTAGAAAACATGTATTTTTATATAAATATATAAAAGATATATGTTTTATATATATATATAAGTAAAACGTTTTTACTCATAAACTTCTTCGCTAAACACAGTACAGTACTGGAAAGGTATTTTCTCTCACGATTTTAATATTTTCTTTTCTAAAGCTTACTTTAAGAATACAATATGTAAGATATATATATATATAACATACAGAATACCTGGTCATCGGCTGTTAATGTTACTGATAAGGCTTCGGGTCAACAGCAGGCTACTGGTAGTTAAGTTCTGGGGTAGTCCAAACTTACGCACGGCTTTCTGATTGGGGGAGTCAGCGCCCCTGCCCCCCGCCGCCATGTTGTTCAAGGGTCCACTGTGTATATCATTAAGAGAAGCATATTTAGGTTCAAAGAGAGATTAATGACATGAAGAGAAAACAAAATGGAATGACTCTGTTGGGTGCTACTTGTACGTGAGCTTGACAACTGGGAACTTTGCTGTTCCTGGACCATCACGAACTTCCACATCAGAACTGAAGGAGTAAAACGGGAAAGAGGACTCACGGGCTACTACTTACTTCGGGGCTCTGGGGATCTCTTTCTTCCTCTTCCACTTTGACCTCAGTTAGGGATCCACCTGCATCCCGGAAATCCGCCACGTTCTGCCAATCGAAATTCGTATCATTGCGGAATCCAATCTTTTCATCGATCTCCTCGGTGAGAGAGTCGTCTAGGTCGGACGTGGGAAGCGGAAACCCCGAGCCAACCAGCTTAATGTTCGCCTTCATCCTCTTCCTCTTCATGAGCGCCCGCCAGTCCAGGTACCTCCTCTTCACCTCCGTCCCTGTCCTCTGCTCGCCCTCCCCAACGGCGTTCACACACTGCGCGATCTCCTCCCAGGCCATCCGCTTCATCACGTTGATCGTGGTGTTGAGCTGCTTGGAAAAAATGACTTCTTTCCGTTTTGTAATTTCTTTCAAAAGGGTCTGAGTTTCTTGAACACTAAAATTGCTTTTCCTTTTCCTTTTCAACTGCTTCATTTTCCCAACTTAAATGCAGAGAAGATGTGAAAAGCTGGGAAACGCTACAAAGCACAAGAATCAAGGGCAACCCCTGTGGGCACTTTGTCACATCAGAGTTTTCCGCTCATCTAGTAGCACAGGCAGGCTGGAGGATTCCTAGAGGGAAAGAAGCCAAACGCCATCAGCCTGCAGCGTCCACCCCGTGAGCCACGCACAGGATTGCAGGACACACACACACCTCTACTCTGGCTCCCACCGCCTCCCCTCACCTGGGCGGCTGCCCTGGCACCTGACCCCCACTCGTCACCCTGGGCCACCCCCTGCTTCTCCACTCCCGGACCACTCTCTCTCCTCCCACTGTGCTGGCCGGCTTCCCGGCACCCATTGTCACCCTCCTCCCCTGGAGCCTCTGTGCACACGGGTCCCTCTGCCTGGGAATTGGGCACCTAACAAAAATGAACGCCGTGCCTTCGCATTCGATCCCAACTCAGATGAGTGAACGTTCTAGAACACTCGTAATTTTAAAGGATCACATTTAATTAGTACTCTGGCCTACCGTTCCTTATGTAATTTAAATGACCAATGGGCTGGGCAAGTAGTCAGCTTTCCTCTAGAGGCCACTGAATACTTAGGTACTAGATTCCCAAACTTTTAAATATATTTTTATGTATCTTTTTTATTTATATATATATATATAACATATATCTTTTATATATTTATATAAAATATTTATTTTCTACCTATTTTCATATACTTATAAAAAAGGACTGAAGCAAACTAACTTATATACTGTTACACCAGCCAAATATGTTTCCTCTTAGTACTTATGTCCTAGCTCACTTCAGAGAATTACTGAAGTGAAAACTTGGCTTTTGCCTTCCTCAATCATCTGCTTCAGCACTAGCGGGATCTGTAAGATGGAGCCCACTTGTTCCAAGGGCCGTATCCTCAATACATAACAATATGCCTAACAAACAGGAGGTACAAATACAACTTAAAATAAGGCGATTGGGGGATGGGAAAAGATAGAAAATGACACGAAGTAACGCAAGGAAGGTAAGCTACCAAAACTGAAACCTCAATGGGCAAAGCATATGATTAAAAGAAAAAGGCAGCCCAAGATAACATGGGCAAGAATCAGTTTGTGAAATTAAGTGAAGCCTTTAAACTACCCACCCTTTGACTATGCCAAAAAAAGTAAGAACCTAGTAAGTTACAAAACATTGTGAAAAGAAAATTTTAGGTAAAAAGGCTCTGTTGCCACCATAATAAGTAAGTAGGTTATCAAAGACATAGTTTTAGTAAGGAATCAGGTTAGATGTCCTTAAAAATAGAACAGAGAGGGAAAATAGTATCAAATTCCATATCATATTAAATACAATGTATTCATGGCTTTTTGTTTCCAAAAGATACAGAATGTTTCAGAGCATTTCAATAGCTTCTTGAACCATTTCAAACGTGCTACCATATTTTTAAGGTAAAAGCATGATAAAAATACAAATATTTGCCAAAATATTTACCAGTAGATGAGGATGCATAAACTATACCACATTATATTAGAGGATGGATATGGCTTAACACATTATTCCTGTGTACATGTATCTTAGATTTCCAGACAGTTTCGGCATAATTATGTGAAAACCTCTGACATCTTCTGATTAATGTAAGAAAGTATCAAAATCAGTGCACCTCGAGTTGAAATTTGGTAGCTATGTTTGCACGGATAGAAGCTAAGCTATGTTTCCAGGATCTTTTTTTTTCTTCCTGTTCTTTCCTTTATAGTTTGATGCTTATGTAACACAGCTTGGGTTTCTGTCATCCATTACCCAATAACTTAAATATTTATCGAGCTCCTACTATGTGCCCGGCACATATTCCCGGTGCTGGGGATGGAACAGCTCACATAACATGAAAAAATGCCATTTTAGATGTCAACTACTACCCCGTCTATACCGGTTGTGTTCCCTGCCTTTACAGAGGGGAATTCGGCAGTTGCAACCTCCAAAAATCCGTAGATCTTGCAAGGCCCAACAGAGACAACTGCCATTTTCCTGGAATCCCAGCGGACGGTCATTCTTTCCAGGCTGGAAATAGGTGTAAGTAGTTCACTTACATAATCCTCGTGAAGACGATGTAGCACCAAAGGCACATGATTAACTGTGGGCAACTGTTTTTTTCAAGGGCTAACACTTGAGAATGGAGTTCCTAAACGCGTGTGATGCGACAAAGAGGTCGGAGGAAAATCAGGCCGTCAATATGGGTCCCCTCCAAACAAAATAACAATTTTTTTTTGGTCAATTCGTTAGGCTGTTCAGAAAAGAAAGCACCACAAAATATCCCAGCGCCCCCAAGCCGCCCCCCTCGCGCCCGCATATTCTTATGCGCTTCCCGGCCGAACAGGATGCTCTTCTCTGAAACTTGCGGAAGGAGCCTAAGTGAAGTTTACCCAGGGGCCGCCTGTCACCGGAGCGACAGACGCCTGCCCCGGGACCGCCCGCTGAGGGCCGCAGGGAAGACCCGGGGGCCGGCCAGGGGGAGGCGGCGCCCGCCCGCCCGCCTCGGCCACGGCGCAGCGGCGCACCGCTGGCAGGTGCGGCGACCTGGAAGCGAGGTCTTCTTCCCGGGGATGAGAGCAGAGTCCCGACTGGGTGCGCGGGAAACCTCCGCGGCCCGGACTCGGCGGCCACAGCCCCCCACCCGCCCCGGACGCGCTGGTCCTTGTAGGAGCGTCGAGGCCCCGCTACGACGCGGCCGCGGGGGGGCCGCCACCTGCCGCCGGCCCCCGCCGGGACCGTCCCCGCTGCGAGGGCACCCACCGTCCGCGGAGCTGCCGCCTCCTCCGGGACACACCCGCTCACCTGCGACCCGGCGGCACCTCCGCCCGATCGCCTCTAAGGGGGCGAGGAAAAAGAGAGGCCTCACTGATCCCTCGCCCGCCCCCCCGCCGCCGCCCATTGGCTAGTGCGGCTGCCACTCGTTCGAGACGGCTCATCCATTGGCCCGGGCGGTGTTGCCATTCCGGCTGAGGGCCCGCCCCAGGTCTGGCCTCACAATGGGAATCGAGTCCCCAACCGGTTCCGGGTTAGTGCCCTGGAATTCCGCCCCCTTGCGATTCGCGGCCTCCCGCTCTGCGCGCAGGCGTTGGCGCGCGGCTCTGTCAGTCAAGCGGGCTCTAGAAGCCGATTGGCCCCTAGCGATCGGCCTGCGGCGCTGCTCCGCCTGATTGGGGCCCTGGCCGCCCCGCCCCCAAACTCTACCCCGTCCTTGACCCTCGCCTGTTAGAAGGGCGGAGAGGAGGCCGACAGCGTGGCGTTGCCCCAGGGCCTTCGAGCTCGCCCTCGCCTCCCGCTCCAGCAGGTGCGGCCTGCTCGGGCCTCCGCCGCCACCGCCGATCCCCTTACAGCTCGTCTGGGCCTTGTCGCCCCTGACTCCGCAGCCGCTGGACCAGTTGGCCACGTGGTCGTCGTCTCCGCGCTCTGCGCCTTGCTCCCCCTCGGCCCAGCCCTCGGTGCCGGCCGCGGGTCTGTCCGCGGCCCCTCCGACCCGCCGCGGCCAGGGCGCGCGGCGCGGCGTCCCTGGGCGTCCCTGGGCGTCCTTGGGCGCGGCCGCACGCCCGGTGCCAGGTGCAGACCCTCCGCCCGAGAGTCGCGGCTGCTTCCCCTCCGGCGTCGTCTTCCATCCACGCGCCCGCCTCGCCCTCCCGCCTTCCTCCCGCCGGCCCTGTGCTTTCAGCCCCCAGCCGGGACGGTGGCACCTGGCAGCGCTTCCAGCTAGCGGGGCTCCTGCCCGCCGCTTCCCTGCCAGGCTCGGGGCCCGGGTTAGCAGTCCCTCCCGAAGGAAGCCCCTCTTTCTCTCCGCTCCCCTGCGCTCCTTCCCAGCGGTCCCTCTAGCGTGGGTGTGCCCCATACCCGGATGCTCGGCTCCGTCTCAAGGCCACCTACGCGACACTTTGTGGCACAAGTTGTCCAAGGCACTACGTGGCTTCCCGTGCCTGCACTTGTTAAATCCTACTGCTCCCATCACCGTGGGTCCCTTTCCTCCCACAGCCCTCGTCACACGGGCCCTGTGGGTGGGTCTGTCCGGTTCACGTTGTCCTCTCTTGGCTTAGTGTGGTGCCTGGAATATAACAGGCGCTCAGAAGAGCTTTGGTGAATACACGATGGCGTATTCCGGGTGAATATTCCTGGAGGACCTCTCTTGCATAAAATAGGAAGACCTTATGAAATAGGCTCTTTGAAATGGGATGATCGGTTTAATCTTTCAGATTTCCACTGGTGAGTCTGTGTAAGAAGCGTGCCTAGACTTTTGCATAAAAGAACAAAAACATGGTTTTTTGAAAGTTATGAGAACTGAGATTTTATAATTTTGGCTTTTTGCTCATGGTGGATGTTTCTGGGGTGAGTGCGGTGACAAGGTAAGAGAACTGTCCATCCCAGTTATAACCAGACACTCTGTTCCCTTTCAGAGTGTATCCAGCGCTTGAATCCGTTTATCGACTCCGTTATCCGGGCTAACACCTAGAACGTGGCAGTAAGTATTAAGAACCTTCTGCTTTCAAATGAACTCTTGAAGGTTCCTGAGTTAAACCTCAATCTCTTTGCTGATTGCAAGACCTTTCCAGGTAGCCTCACTATTTTTTCTCAGCTATGACTTGTGTGACTGGATGCGGACCAACAAGGGAGAGATGGAGGGTAATCCAAAATGCCTAATATTAGTAGCCCATTACGAACCTGATAGTCTGTTTACTGATTTGATTTTTGTTTATACTAATTTCAGGCTAGAGATTTGACCCTGAGGTTCTTACACACTTATTCTAGAAATGAGCTGTTCAACTGTTGTAGCCACTAGCCACAAATGTGGCCAGTAGAACTGAATAACTGAATTTTAGTTCTATTTAATTTTAATTAATTTTAATTTAAAAACAATTCAGTGACTGGATAACTTCAAAGTATGTTTGGATAACTTGAGTTATGTGAATCTACTTTTTCAACTGTAAATTTTTTGAAATCTAATTACAGATGGAATAGGGGCGCCTGGCTGGCTTAAGTTGGTAGAGCATGTGACTCTTGATCCTGGGGTCAGGGGTTCAAGCCCCACATTGGGTATAGAGCTTGCTTACTTGCTTACTTAAATACATACATACATGCGTACATACAGATAGGGTATTTCTGATAAATTAGAATCTGAATTGAGATGTACTGTAAGAGTAAAATATACACAGGATTTCAGAGATTTAGTTTAAAAATGTACAATGCCTCACTGACAATTTTCGTATTGATTAAAAGTTAAATGATAAAATTTTGCATAATTGGGTTAAGGAAAATATATTCTTTTTTAAAATTTTTTTTATTTTTTTAAATTTTTTATTGTTATGTTAATCCCCATACATTACATCATTAGTTTTGGATGTAGTGTTCCATGATTCATTGTTTGTGCATAACACCCAGTGCTCCATGCAGAACGCGCCCTCCTCAATGAGGAAAATATATTCTTAAAATGAATTTTACCTGTGATTTTTTTTTTTTTTTTAAATGAGGCTAATAGGAAATGTAATCTTATACATGTGGTTTGCATTATATTTCTATTAGACAAGGCTCTTCTAGGCTGTGCCTGGCCACAGCTTATTAAAAGTCTCAGAATGAGAATGTAATCATTAGCTAAAATATTTCTATTTCATTGCCTACTGTTTAATCAAAGGAAAAGAAGAAAGTCACTGGTGCTGTCTTTCCTCCAAATACGGTTTAGTTAAGAAAGAAGTCACCCTGTCACGTGATATAACCTACATTGTATATGAACAGTCACTGTGTCACGCTGTCTCTGCCCTCTGTGTTTGCCTTGAGCACGTCCTGCTTCCTCCTGGCTTGTCCGTGTGACATACTCTTATTCTTCAAAACCTGCTTTTCCCTGGCAACTTGAGAACAGATCAACTTGTCCTTTTTCATAAGAGTTCTGTGCTTATACATACTCTATTTAGATTTCCACTGTCTGTTCTGCCCTTTCTCCCGCTGATCTCTAGCACCTCGCACATTACCTGTTAGGCTGGCAGAAGTGTGTTTGTTGACTTGAACTGAACGTTGACAAAATAAAACTCACTCTGTTTTGTCCTCTGTGATGTTTCACCAAATTGCTTGGAATTTTCATCATCCCTCAGGTAAATTAAAGGGTGTATAAAATGACAGTGAAAGCTTTTTACCAGCAAATTTCATGTTTCTAAAAACTTCACATTGAATGGAAAACCAGTGTGGTTCCTATAGAAATTGTTGCAGTTCTTTTCCTTTGGATTTTCTCTTATAACTGGAAAAAATAAGAAATGTTAGAACACAAGCTATTTAAAAATGGTACTCATAATAGCAAGCAGTAGGGAGAGCAGATTTAATCTCAAAGATCAGTCTGGTACTGAATCTTGAGAAGTCGGATGGGTCCTGGCATTCCAATTAGCATTGGCTGTGGTTGGGTCACCACTTTTGTTTATGGTGGGAGCTCTGGTTTCTATTGGAATAGAATAGTGTGGGCCAATGTTTATTAGGAAAGTCATCCATAATACTTCTCCAGCAAATCACCTGTACATGGAGTTGCCCATGGGAGAAACAGATCGATTCCAAATCTGTTCTTGCAATTTGGAATGCGTGCCCTGGTCACTTTCTCTTCGGAGTCCATTTTAAAAATTCACTCTTGGTGTATATACCCTTTGGTTTTTTTCTCCTGTTTGGCAGTCAGAGAGGCCTCTTGTTGAAAACAGTTTTAACAGCTTTGTGGGATGACCATCTGGGAGTCCCTTGCAGAATGAGTTATTCATGCAGAGTAGCCTATATTTTAAATCACCTTGTCCCACATATATACTGAATATTTAGTGAAATTGATCTGGCCCTTTTTTGCATAATGTATCAACAGAAAAACTGCATAAATGTCATTTTTGTAATAGAGATTAATCATATTGTATTCTCAGTTTGAGAAATTACTGCGCCTTTTTGTAACCTCTTGGTTGTTTTTTTATGCATGCGCATTCTTGAGTTCCTTTTGTAAGAATTGTACTGAGTTTTGGAGCTGGGAGCTTTTCCTTCCCTGGCCAGTTCTCTTTCCTCATCTCATTTCGGAAATGATTATCGAGTACTGCTGTGTGCCAGCCACTGATCTAAGGGCTTCATCTGCATGAATCTGTTTCACTGTTACAAGAACCTTGTATTCCTTCCAGTCTGTAGGGGAGGGACCTGCGGCTCAGTGCTGGGAAGTGTCTCTCTGAGGCTGCACAAGGGATCTGGCGTCTAAGCCCAGGTAGTCTGGACACTCAAACCCCTTGCGGCCGTCACTCACAATGGATGTTACTGCTCCCTGCCAGGAGATTTAAAGGTGGCCGAACATTTGGAAAGATTTTAGTGGAGTAGAGAGACAACAATTCCCCTCCGCCACACACACCAAATACCATCTTTTTCCAAACATTTTTGGACTGTGTTATAAGCTCCTCAAAGGCAGGGATCATGTCACTTGTCTTTTATCCCCAGGACCCAGCAGGGACCTTGCATTTACTGTTTGTTCCCAAACACATTTAGATTTCGGGTTGTGGGATGGACGATGGTCATAGAATCCCTTGAGCAGTAGCCTTAGCCAGGGAATCCATCAGAGCTTAGGAGCTGACTAAGAGCTGCTCCCTACTACATTGTCCGTTGCTTTTACTTCACTTCTTCACCAGTTTCCACGGAAAACCTTCTAAGCACCACTGCTTATTGTCTCTAGGCAAAGTTTGTTCTTGAGTTTTTCCCGCATTCGGATTATTTGTCTGTGGGGAGGAGTAGTGGTGATCAACACACAATAACAATAATACAGATGTAAATGGGATCCTGAATTGGCCTAGACAACTTGCCTTCGGTTACTCAGCTCATTTAATTTTTTTTTTTTTTTAAGTACTCTCTATGCCCAACGTGGGGCTGGAACTCACGACCCTGAGATCAAGAGTCGCAGGCGGTACCGACTGAGCCAGCCAGATGCCACTCATTCAAATTCTTAAAAGACAGGAGCTGTGATTCCTGGCAAGACTTTTTGGAAACAAGGAAAAAGGCAGAAGGGACACAGAAAAAGAAAAAAAAAAAGCATTTCACAGGATCCAGAAACAGAGAGCACCTCAAATTTTAGCTTGTCTCCCATTCCCAAACCCTCACTTTCTTAATACCCTTGAGCTTGGTATGCTGTATCTGCAGGGCCAAGAAGTGAAAATACAGATTTAAACCCTAGTTAACAAGGTGGATATGGGGGACCCAGGTGATTAGTCATTTTCCCAAATGATTTCTAATTTCATAACAAGATACATCCAAAAGACTTTATCATCAGACTTCATTTATAATCTCTATCCTTTATTTCTGTCCTCCTGGTGTTTTCCTTTCATGACTGTCCTACAAGAAAGCAGAGTGATGTGTGGCTTGTCTGGTTGCTAAGGAGAGGTCAGCCTGAGACCACAGCACCAGGGGCCCAGCCCCGGCTCTGGGTCCTCTCCACTCTCCCGTGCTCAGCTTCAGAGAACCATGTTCTGCCACTTCAGATAGCATATCAAATTATTTGATTTCTCAGAAACTTAATGACTTACTTGGAAGACAAAAGACAAAAAAAAAAGACAAAATTCACCCGTGTTGTGTCTCTTCCAAATTCCTCCCATTCCCTTCGTTCCTAGCTGGAAAACACAATAGCTACACTTGCTGGAGGCTGAAGAGGCACCAGACAGTGTTAAGTACTTCGCACATCTTGTCTCTTACAAGGGGCTCACAGTTAGGGAAACTAAGGCATGGAATTAAGGACACATCATCGTTTTATGAGAGAGGAAATGGAGGCTCAGGACTTAGCAGACTTCCTCCAGGTCCACAGCAAGGCTGTGGTGGAGCGGAGACCCCTTACCCTGATCCAGCCCCTTGCTTCCCCGAACCGTTGTGAAGACTTCCTCTCTGGGTGAGAAACGATTTTTCCAAGTTACCATCGAGCTGAAAACAACTTGCAGAAAGCAGTGGGGCCTTACAGAGCTGTTGCTAACGTTAACAGCAGCCCCACAGCGTAAGCGGTAGGTCACAGACCTCCATCTCAGAGGTTCTGGCTCTCTCTTTCCAGACCCCCTGTCTACCTTTTCCTGGTTTTGGTTCTTAAACTACCCTGAGCTCTCCTCCGTGATCACTAACTTTCCCTTTTAGTACCCCTCGTTTTACACTGCATTCTCACCACGCTCTCCCCTTCTTTTCCTTCTAAATCCCTCCCTGCTTTTTTCTCATTAATCAAAAATGCATAGCTGAAGCATGTTTCTACTATTGCATCTCAGAATTTAATAATTTATAATAATCTGGTTGCTAGTCATAAGTTTCAGAGTGGACGAATAACAGATCATATTTTCTTAAACACAAAAAGCCCCTGAAAGCCCCAAGTAATTTCTTTATTAATTTTGGTGACCCTTAATTGCCCTTATCCTACCTACTATGTATTTCTCCGAAAAAGAAACAAAAATTCTCCTTTAACTATTTGATGTTAAATTTCAACATCTCGTAAATCAAAGTGATTTTTATATGTGTTTAAGATAAAAGGCTGATTTTCTTTTAAGTAATCTCTCTACCCAACCTGGGGCTCGAACTTACAACCCGGAGATCAAGAGTTGCACACTCCACTGACTGAGCCAGCTAGGTGCCCCAAAAGGCTGACTTTTAATAACAAAAATCTGCTTTACTTTTGTTGTACTGAGTTTTTGCTTCTATATATTTCCCCCTTTTAAGCATGTTTTTTTCAGTTTGATTAAAGTAGCAGTGTGCCTCCTGTCATCTCTGTCCCAGTGCTACAGAACATTCTCATACATCTTGTGCATTAATAGCTCTGTCCCTCCATCCTCCTTGTGGGGTGAGAGGGGCTTTATTTTAATCGAATTTGGAAATGGTGTCAGAATACAAGGTTTCATTACTATAGCAACAGAGAATAATGGAAAGACTAAACGTCAGACACATTCCGTGTTGCCATAGTGACAATCAGTTGCTTTCCCAATATGTTTACTGTTCCATTCTGGTCAGTTCTTAAAATATGCTCATCTCTATAAATGCTCAAAAAAGGGGAGAAAAAGTTCAAAGTCATTTAGGAAAGAAAGAAGCCCTTCAAGAGATGAAAGCAATTTGCTTTTCTGTCCATTATTTAATAAGAAGTCCACAGAGTCCACAAAAAGGCTATGTGGGAAGTAGAAATTCTCGTTTCTGTTCAAATAGGCATTCTTATTTGCAGTCAGGGAAATTGAAGCGCAGAATTTAAGGCATGTCCATATTGTCATTTCATGCTATTTCAAACCATTTTTTTCTGAGCTCCTGAAAACGGAATTCTGCCCCATTGAAATGAAAACTCTTCTTTAAAGCAGTAGCACTTGGGGCGCCTGGGTGGCTCAGTCGTTAAGCGTCTGCCTTCGGCTCAGGTCATGGTCCCAGGGTCCTGGGATCGAGCCCCGCATCGGGCTCTCTGCTCCGCGGGAAGCCTGCTTCTCCCTCTCCCACTCCCCCTGCTTGTTTCCTCTCTCGCTGTGTCTCTCTGTCAAATAAATAAATAAAATCTTTAAAAAAAATAAAGCAGTAGCACTTGAGGGCCTGTACCTGCTGGGCAGAGTGGACAACAGTTTATTCCAGCCCCTTTGATTATCTTCCTCTGCCTTTCAGCAGCCTCTTCTCCTCCATCCCCTCCCAGACAAATCATTCTCATAGTAACTCATCAGGGCCCCCCCATCCCACAACTGACTAGTGACCTTGATTTCCGCCTTTCTCCTCTTCCCATAATTACTTCCCCCAAACTAGGGAGAACAGGGGCCATGCTCACCATCCCCTTTGAAAATGCTGTTCTTAGCACAGCGCCTGGCTCATGGTAGGATAGAATCTTAATTGAGTGAATGAGCTTCCATCAAATGATACCCTTTGTTAGGTGGTTTGTTTGTTTGTTTGTTTTTTTAAGATTTTGTTTATTTGAGAGTGAGAGAGAGCATGAGCAGCAGGAGGGACAGAGGGAGAGGGAGAATCCCAAGTGACTCCCCTCTGAGTGCAGAGCCCGACACAGGGCTCCATCCCAGGACTCCGAGATCTTGACCTGAGTCGAAACCAAGAGTCAGACGCTTAACTGACTGAGCCACCTGGGCGCCCCTGTTGAGGTGTTTCTGAGACTCGACTAAGTGACCGAAATGCCCCATTCAAAGTAAGGTGTAAATAGGCACAGTGGCCCAGCAAACAGTCTTCTCAGAGTCCTGGCTACTTTGGAAATTACTGATATCTTTAGGTTCGTTTAGGAGGTGGCTTTGGGAAGTCCAGACACATTATGGTACAAAAGCGATGTGTTAAACGGTAGTTAAATTTTGGGGTGACCAGCAAAAATGCCTGCAAGGCCAGCTCTGGAAGGCACCGCTTCCATGATTCCCGGTCCCTTTCATAGTTTTGTTTCGGTGGTTCAAAATTCACTTCCGTTTCCATCTCAGGATTTCAGGAGTTCATCTCCACCAGCCATCACGACAGTTCTGGTGACAGAAAATATTCTTAGGTACCAGTGAGGTGCTGGCTCAGGATGCTTCTGTGGAAGGCCGGAGCACGTCCTCATCGTCAGAAGAGGTGAATGTGTAACTGTACACGGCAGGATGGATGGACTGTCCAAGTGTGGTTAAGGAGCTTCGATCGTGGGATGGATGGGGGAATTATTCTGGATTATCGTGGTGTGCCTCCAGTTTAAGGACAACGGTCCTAATGAGCAACGGGGTGGGGAGGAGAGTGTCAGAGGGATGCCATGAGAGCAGATGGCCACCCACTGCTGACCTTGAAGAGGAGAAGCAACCACGAGCTGAGGAACCCTTGAGAAGCTGCAAAAGCAAGGAAATGAATTGTAACCCAGTGACTCTGGTTCTGGAATTTTGAACTCCAGGACTGTAAGAGAATAAACGTGTGTTGTCTTGAGCCACCACGTTCGTGTTGTGGCAGCAGCCTTAGGAAACTAATTCAACTCCCGTACCCACATAACAAGAAAGAGCTCCCCTAGAGCAGTGGCTGGGAGATACTTTTGATTTGTCCCAGCAAACTTCCATTTAAAAACTGTTCCCTCACCCACTACGGCTACCGTACTGGCTAGTGAGCAGAAGAACTCCACAATCATATTGAAAATGTACAAAATAACAATAGAATGAGAACTAGCCTTCATTAAAAGACCAAAACAACACCAACAATAGTAAAAATTTTACAAATAATAAGAGCAATCAAAAGACAACCAAGTCAAACCAACACATATGATTCAACAAGAACAACTTCTCATCTAGGAAATTTGGGGACTCCAATGATGTGCATATGCCCACACACAAAGAGGAAGTTTGCGATGTTGCCAAGCACTATGTGGAGTCAGACGCTCAGTGACCTCATGATGTGCTCATTTTGGTTTATGAACATCCAATTTTATTAACCCTTAATAACTCACTAGTAGGTTACTCAGAATTAGCACTTGCCCATATGAAAGATTAGAGCCTTTGAACCCTTAAGAACTGAGAAACGGCCCTTGGTTTGGGAATGCTTCTAAGACAAACAGTAAAGAGACCAACGTTTGAGAAATGGCTCACAGTCATTCTTCCTGCAAGTTTCGTATAATGAATTGGAGAGGGCATGTCCGTTGTGTGCAGAAGATGAGGAACTCTGGAGAGCGTTGAGGGCAGGTGAAAGAATTTCCAAGTTTGGTTCCTGAGAGATGACCCCATTCATGACATAGGTCATTGTACATTGGTTCTTTTTCTTGCAACACCTTGGAGTGAACTTTTTGCATTCATCTCTACATGTTTCAAAATGTGTTTCTGGAAGATAAAGAGCACATATTATCACAGCTCACACAAGTAACGAGTTTTGCCACCTAATCTAGGCATCAGAGTTACCCCACCAGGTAAAAATAACGTGGTTGTGATGTTATCTTTTTGAAAAATTCTGTAGAAAACTGATATCTGATGTTTCAAATGTTGATGTGGGAGCCGCTGAATCCCCGGAGTGGAAGGTCCCTGCAGGAGGTGGAGATCAAACCCTTGAATGTTTGAATCCTGTCTCCCCAGCATCATGAAGAATTTCCTGTCTTCCCAATTTCCTTCAGTTAATTTTCATCACAGGATTTCAAGCGTCTTCATGCCTCGGTCCTCTGGGATACCCCCATGTTCTCTTTCAGATTGTGACCTGCAGTATTCTAGATATGAAACGAGGTCTCCCCAGTAGCACCATAACCAAACCGTCTGCTGTTTTTCTCTTTTGATTGCCACATTTATTCCACAAAAATTTATTGGGGATGGACCATGTGAGCAAAACACATGAAAATCCTGCTCTCATGGAGTTCCCACCCCATGACCTGTATCACTGACTTAGAAATGTAGACGTCCTAAATTTGCTTCGAACTTCTTCAGAATTTACTCAGCCAGGTTCCTGGCAGCTTCACACCCCCTGTAAGCGGCTGGCTGTCCCTGTGGCGCTTGCTGCTACTCCATGTGGAAGGTGTTTCTAAAGTTTCCGTAGCTTACCCTGGGTCCGAGCAGCCGCTGGGTTGCGGTACAAAGATCTTTAAATGAAAACATTTTTATCCACTTCTCACGTTTAACGCTTTTTTTGTCATTTAACACGCAGTTATTTACTATTTCCTTTTTTCCCCTGTAAACAGTAACGTCAAATGAAAATGAACAGAAGTAGGATAAGGTCTCTTAGAACACAAAGCAACAACGAAAAGCCAAAAGACACAACCTTGGCCCTGGGAGAGTAGTGAAAAGAAGGAATCACACACAAAGGCGGGAACCTCGCGATCGCTTTGTAGTCTGTTGCCAAAGTGACAGCCACACACTCTGGAGGACGGTTATTAAGAAGCGGAGTGCCCGGCTCTCTCCAGGTTGGCTGCTTGCTTACCTCTGTCTCCATTCATGCGTGTGGACTTTGGACGGTGTTTTAAATTATGCCATAAAGAAAGCCGAACATGATTTTTGTTTTATGCAGAGGACAAAATGGTTTTTGCAGCATCACTGACTAAAGTAATCACTGTTATTTCAAGGCACTTTTCCAAAGCACGAGGCACCACTTTTGCAGGGAAGCAAGGTCACCTGAGGTCGTTTGCTTCCGCATAAAGGACTGCACAGGGAGTCTTACCGCTAATGGAAGACAGGCCCTGTTGAACATTCTGACGTGGCTGGTTGTATTTGCCCACATCTAGTCAGTCTTTCTGGTTTTTGTTCTTCAGTGTTTTCTCAAAACTGTCCCATTCCATCTCCTGTGTTCTGGTTCTCGGCATCTTTTGCCTGTAGAGAGGCGTGGTCCCCCAAATGATCCCCGTGTCCCGGTCCATCCTGTTCACTGCTTCACCATCCTCATCCCATCCTGTGACTCTCTTCCTCAAGCTCCTCTACCCCGCATCCTGCCTTTTGTTCTTTGCCATACCAGCATCTCATACAGCTTCTAAGTCTTTACAAGGGGACTTCATTTTGTTTTCTTACCCAGCTAAGTTCTTTACTCCTGCTGAGAACTTTTAGCTGGGATTTTACATTGTGAGGATTTTTGTCCGTTTGTATTGTTTGCTTAGCGGAGAAGGGGGGACGTGGTGAGGGGGTCAAGTGGTTTTAGGCTGCGCTACCTTCTAGTGAATGAATGGGGTCCTGTTTCTGGCAGGAAGGTGGGTTAGGGTATCTTGGACAAGCACTGAAGGTTGGTGAGAAGAGTAGACAGGACAGTAGAGTCTGCTCGACAAGAAAAAGAGGCTCAGGGACGGGAGGAGGGGTGTCACCGGGGTGGTGGTGGGGGGAGTAAAGCGGAGCCCGATTAGGTGAATGGGGGTCAGGATTGCAGCAACACAAGGATTTATAATAGAACCTCTGTTAAAAGTGGGTTTGGGCCAATTTCCTAAGCATAGTTAAGTCAGCTTGGTTGGAAAAAGCAGGACCAGATACTCTCCGTAAACACGGGACATTTAACCAGATGGCTATAATATAGACATTTATGTGCAAGTTTGAAATCATGCATTTACCGATCCTTTTTTGTCACCGTTCCTGAGGAGCAGTTTGGTCTTGTGGAGACATCAGTGCTTATAGATTAAAAGGGATCTGAGGTGCTAGAAAATGAGACTTTCCAAAGACCCCGCAGCAGTACCTCCTGCCCCTAGGAACGTCTCCTTGTGACCTTGCCACAGCCCGTTAAGAGGAGGAGTGCGTTCCGGTACCTCGACAAAAAAGCCAAAGCAAAACGCAGCCGCGACAAGAAGACACCAGCAGAAGGACGCCCCGCCGGCTTCAGGCAGGGCCGGGCCTGGCCTGGCAGCGGCTGCCCGGAGCGCGCCCACCGACGCCGCCCGGCGCGGGCGAAGCCGGGGGCTGGGGGACCCGGACGGTGGGCCCCGGCGGCCCACGCAAACACGCCGGCAGGTCGGAGCCGCCCGGCGCGGGGGGGGGACCAGATGCCCGGTCGCCCCGTCACACTGCCCGGCGGGCGCTTCGCGCACCAACCGCAGAGCCAGCCCTTCTGCAATTCAGACGCCCTGGGGGCGGCACCCGCTGATCGTGGGGGTGCGTGTTGCACGGGCTCGGGACCGCAGCCGGGCTCTCGCTCCCTCGCTGCCCTCCCGCCTCGGGAAGGCTGCCCTCGGCCCCGTCGGCGCGGACGCTGGCCCTCGACGAGGGCACGCTCCCACAGGACAAGGCTGGAAGGTCCTGGACGCGCCCTCACTGCTCCCTGAAGGGCCGCCTGCAGTGCCGGCCGTGCGTGTCCATCACCGCGACGTGGGTCTCTCCGCGGAAAGCACAGGCCTTTGACCTTAGTCCGCAGCTTCTCCCCGCAGCCTCTGCTCGCTTTCCACTTAGGTGGGGTATTTCTTATGAAATACGGAAATTACCCTGTTTTGTTATCTTAGTAACAATCTTTTAAGCAACGATGAGCCTTTCCCCTTCCAAATGTATTTTCTATTTCAGCCCCATGTGATGGGAAAGCATCCCCTTTTTTTTAAATCAGCAAGATGATTTTCCAATCATGTGAACAAACCAAAAACCCTTAAGGGATCCTATGGCTCATTGTTCCTTGACGAAGGTAATTTGAAAGAGGAAATAAAAATCAGTTGTGCTTCTCTAAATAATAGAAAAGCAAAGGAGAAATAAAAGCAGTAAACTTGTCTTGGCTGTTTGTTCTTATCTCTATAGAGATGAGCACATTTTTAATTCACGGTCAGCTGGGAGGCTCTTGATCTGCAGAGCTGATCAATAATGTAGCGCAGTCATTGTCAAGCTTTCAGGCATTCCACGTAGTGAAGGAAGGGCTCACTTTGCCACAGCAATTCTCACGGATGATAACCTTACCATGTTGAACCGCGGCTGAATTTGTGCCACTGATAAGATAGAAAACGTGGACCAGATAAAGTTCCCAAACTGCCGCTTCCAAGTGCGGGTTCCCGGCCGTTCCGGCGTCTGGTTGGGAAAGCTTTTCCGAGAGGGGCGGGGTGCTTCGAGGCAGGCGGCGGGGGTTCGTCCTGAGCCCATCCTCTCCCAGCGGCGCGTCTCGGGCAGGGTGGGCAAGCACCGGGCCGCTCGAGCATCTCTTCCCGCGCGCGGCGTGCCCTGGGGCTCCGTGCTTCCCGGCCCCGCACGGGGCGCTGCGGGGTCTGTCTCCGACATGGGCTGGCATGCCGCCGCCGCTGTCCCTGACCTCATCCTTGTTGCCAGGCCTTTGTTCTTTTTCTTCTTTTAGGGTTTTATTTGTCTATGTGAGAGTGAGCATGAGCGGGGGAGGGGAAGGGAGCAGGGAGCCCGACGCGGGGCTCGATCGGGGACCCTGGGATCAGGACCTGAGCCGGAGGCAGCCGCGCACCGACTGAGCCCCCCAGGCGCCCCTGTTGTTGTCAGTCTCACTGGCACCGCTTGTTACTGCTGCTGGTGGGTCGGAGGCCCGCCCTTTCGTCACCAGGGGCTCCTGCAAAGGGCAACCTGCACTGTCACTCTTCTTCCAGATAAGCTTCCCTTGGGCTTGGCTGATGGAAACTCGAATCGTGCACCAGTCCACCCGGGACCTGCGCACAGTCGGTCAAGGGCAGCTGTTGCCCCCGCCCCGCCCCCCGCCGTCCCCGCCCCCACCCAGCAAGCGCACGCCTCGCTTCCTGCAGACCCTTGATTTTTTATCCATGGGATAAAGGACGAGCAGAGTGTCGGGGTTGGAGGCTCTGGGGAAGGGGATGGTTGCAGGTTTAGCACGCTCGGCCAGGTACGCGTCATTCAGAAGGTGACATTAGCACTGAGCTGTGAAGGGGGAGGGGGAGCTGGGGGAAGACCCTTCCAGCAAAGGAAACCGCCAGCATAGAAGCCCTGAGGAGGAGCAGATCTGAGTGAGTGGAGGGAGAACGTAGTAGGAGAGGCGGTCAGACAGGTAGGAGGCGTGGGTCCGCTGCGCGGGCTTTGGTTTCCTTAGAGAAACTTGGAGCCGTGGGAAGGTTTTGGGCAGAAGAGTGAAATGATCTGATCCACAGAGATCTCAACAGGACCATTCTGCTGCATTGAGAACGGACTGCAGGGCTCTGAGTGGAAGCAGAGAGACTAGTCAGGAGGCTGCTAGAATAATCCACATAAGAGATGGCAGTGGCCCAGGTGGAGGCAGAGGATGTGGTCATTCTGGTTATTTTCTGAAGGGAGAGCTTACAGGGATTCCTGATGGATGGGACATAAGGTGTGAGCAGGAAAATTGAAGATGTCTACAAAACCTTTGGCCCGAGGAAATGGAAGGACAGTGTCTGGGTTGTAAGAAAGTGTAGGAGGAGTTGAGCATTGGAAACCTTAAGTTTTTTGGCATCTGTTAGACATCAGACAGGAGATAATACGCAGGAGTTTTGATGTAGGAACTGCAGAAGAGGTGTGAATTAGAACTATACATTTGGAAGCCATCAGCAAATGGATGGTATTGACATTGGTTGAGATCACCCAGGGAGTTCGTGGGGAGGGAGCAGGTAAGTCTCAAGAGCTGGTCCGTGGGGTACTCTCCCTTCAGAAGATCAGAGAGATGGGAGGGAGCAAGCATAGCAGACTGAGCTGGAGCGAGGCCGAAGGAAAGCCAGAAGAGGGTGAGGTTCTGGAAGCCCCACAAGGAAAGTAAAAAGCTGCTGATAGGTCAGGTAAGAGAAGTATCTGGAGGCCACTGGTGCTCTGGACAGAAACAGTTTGGTGAAGTCATTGGCAAAAACCTGCGAGAAGAAAGATGAGAAATGGATGCGTGCAGAGAAATGGGGCAGTTGCTGGAAGGCATATGGCGTCCGCATGTTAGTGTGCTGGTGGGAATGATCCATGGAGCTGGGGAGATGGAAGGCGGAAGGGTTGCTGATGTGAGGGGGGTGTAGTCCCATAGGAGCACTGCATCTACAGCAGCCCCCTCCTCTGTGGTTCGCTTTCCATAGTTGCTGTGGTCGCCGCGGCCCCCAAGCAGATGACCCTCCTCCTGACGAACCTTCAGCAGACAGTCCCGGAATAGCCTGACGCCACCTCAGTGCGTCACCACGTAGGCATTTTATCATCTCCCATGATCACGGGAAGAACGGTGAGTCCAGTATGATGAGATATTGTGAGAGAGAGAGACACACACCATATTCCCATAACTTTCATTACAGTATATTGTTATAGTTCTTCTGTTTTATAATTATTCTTGTTAATCTCTTTCTGTGCCTAGTTTATAAGTTAAGCTTTATCATAGTTGTGTATATATAGGGGAAAACACAGTATACTAGGTTGGTACTATCTTTGGTTTCCGGCCTCCCCTGGGGGTCCAGGAACGTAGCCCTGGTGGATAAAGAGATAAAGATGCTGGGAGGTGGTACATGTGGTTGGTCATGGGAATTTATAGCTGTTTTCATCAGACCACTTGTGCTCCCTTTTGATTTTGCCAAGTGTGACAAGAGAGGGACAAAGGATTGCAGCGTGTGAGCATGGGAGACATCCTAAAGTCTGAGAGTGGAATATAAGCAATCTTCACTTCACAATGTAATTGTACCTCGCAGTCGTGAGGGAAAGAGGGTACCGAGGCAGATCTGGAGGGAACGTGGCTGCCAAGCACAGAGAGCGACCCAGATGCAGGGCAGCAGGTGAGGAGAGGAGAGGCAAGGCTGGAAGGGGCCACATTCAGATGTGTGAGGACTTACTTCCTAATGGAGTTAGATGTGGTGGTTGATTATTAAAAATGGCATCTGATAAATCCCCCTCTCTGCTTCTGTGGCCTCTCCAGTATGTCTTTGCTGTTTGCTTTAGAGTCGATTTTCCGCCCCTTGCACCTGTTGTTTCGTGAAGGGCTCTGACCAGTAGAATGCACAAGTGGTGTCTGGGACGCCCGAGGCCAGGTCTCGAGACCCCGACGCTCTGCTGTGTGTCAGAGGGGAGTCAGCCCCTGGGGAAGAGGCTGGGGCCGACCTGCTGTGGGGAGAGGCCCAGACACAGCCCCACGCCGGCCGGAGCGGTAGCCACGCGTGACTCCTGAGTGCTTGTCGTGGGACTGTAACTGAGAAACAGAATCTTTTTTAACGGTTTTGATCCGTATTGTTTTCGATGTAAATAGCCACATGTGGCTAGCACTTCCTGCAGTGGACAGCGCTGTCCCGGCGGAAACAGGCCACGTGGACGCAGAGGCCACACGAACGGGAATGGAGGTGTCCCACTGACGGCCAGCACCGTGGCGCCAGACGGGGGAGGCCCCCAGCCCTGGCTGAGCCCCGCCAGCCACCAGCGTGTGGAGCAGAGACAAGCCGTCCCTGCTAACCCTTGCCCAGCTCCCTGACCTGCAGCAGCATGAGCAAGAAGGTGGTCTTCAGCCATTAAATTTGAGGTGGCTTGTCACGGGGCCATGGAGGTGGCCAGTAGGTGACTGGTGGAGACATGGTGTCGAGAAGGGCCCGCCATCCAGTGAGGGCCTGCCACGAGCCTTTCCAGTCAAGTGATGGTAACTGTTACTACGCCGAAGTGTTGACTGCACTAGGTCCCAGTGGAAGAAATTAAGGTGCTCGAAGTAGAATGGGCAAGGAGAAACCATTCTCACTGAGTAAGGACGAGGGTCTTCAGGTGCACCGCTGCTCAGAAAAATCCCTGTGGTCCCGCGGAGGAACAAGGCAGAACAAGGATGTCTGGGTCCTGCCACTGCATTTGAGGGGCTCTTCCTTGGACTCAGCAGAACCTGTGAGTCCTGCCCCCTCCTACTCCCCACAGGACACCCTCCTGTTCTGTTCTGTTTCGTTTTCCCTCAAAGACAGACCGTCATAACTCCTGGCCTTGGTTTTCAGCGTAGCCCACTGAAGGCCAGAGGGCGTGGCGGGAGAGCGGGACTGAGCAAGGATCGGTTACAGCTGTTGGCCTCCTGACTGCTCTGAGAAGCACGGGTTTCTACCTCCCACCCCCCTTGCCGCTGAGGTGCCGACTCCGCATCCTATAGATTCCCCTGGTGTCCCTGGTCACATGGAATTGATACTCCTTACCTCTACTGTCGTTTACTGCCCTGATGCTGCATTAATTACATCTGCAGGATCAAGGCGGGCCCGTGAATTATTAATGAAAGGGATCATTATACCTGAGTGGAATTTTTCCCTCCTCACCATCCTCATGCTGCATTTCCGAAAGTCCATCAGCTGACCTCTACACCCTTTCTTAAGTCTGTGCTGTTTTGGTGAGGATGTACTTGGGGAACAGATGAGAAACACCTTGGGGAACAGATGAGAAATGGTACCCTCTCTCAATTGGCCAGGTGAAAAAATAGCAAAGTTGTACTCTGCATAATGTGTGACACATTATTTAGGGATGGATACATATCCCACAGTAGGAGATTATTGAGAAGATTTTGAATTTTGTTCATCCAAAGATTTACACATTTTTCTGCATTGCATTTTGTGCAAATAAACTATTCAATAGACCTGAGATTCCTTGTAGACTGCTAAGAGCCCTCACCCATTTTAGAGCTGTGCTAGGGTCCTGGGATCTGGCTTGTCTGACCCCCTGCTCATGCATGTGCAGGGGAGTGGGCTTCATTCTCTGTCTGGCATCAGCCACAGGAGCTGAGCTTGTACTCGAGAGCTGTGGGTCAGGGAGCGAAAGGGAATTCTCATCTGCACGGGGCAGATGTGTAAGTCAAGGCGAGGGGAAAGAAGGGAGAAGAGGAGAAAGACAAAAATGGGGCTAAAAACCCAACCTGGAAAAACGGGCAGAAGCAGGAGGATACTCAGGAAGTTCAAGGAGGACGGGGAACACATCTGATTTTCTTGCTGTTATTTCTCCACGCCTACTACGGTGATGACACACGTCGGCAGGACAAGAAGTAGCTGTTGAAGGACTAGATTACTAAATGAGAAGCTCGTGGTTGAACCTAGGAAGAAATATTTAGGGCCAAGTCCAAGCTACACTGTGCATTGGCAGTGTTCTGCTTTGTCCCATCCTTCCCCCTCTGCCGAGGTAGAAGTGGTACATCTTAAGATTTAAAATTGTATCTCTAATTGTAGGATTTGAGACTGGTAGCATGGTGAAGGGTTAGGGGAGGTTGGTCCTGCTGAAATGAAGCAAGAAAAAAGAGTGGCAGGAGACACGGACGTTTATTGAGCATTTCCCATCGGCAAGCGCTGTGTCGAGCACGTCCCACACATTGTTTGGTTTAATTCTCACAACAACATTTTGCGGGAGGTACAACCACTACCCCGGTGTTCCTGACAAAGACGCTGGGGCACAGGACGTTGAAGTGACTTCGTCCGGCTGCTTTCAAAGCAGAGCCCCGAGCGGGCCTCTCCCCTTCCACCACTGTACGTTTCCCGACTTGCTTGCTGCTAGGAAGCGTTTGCAGTGCTTATTGAAAATGTGAGTCCCCAGGACCCGAACCTGGAGCTTACTAAGTCAAAATAACCACTGGGTCTTTAACTGGCACCCGAGATGACTGGTTTTTTGAAGCTACTTTGGGGAACACTGCGGACACTGGACGTTCCCGGTAGACACTGCATTACTAAAATTACTGGTTAGAGCTTCACTGTGTCACTTATCCACAGAAGAAATTTAGATGCTTTGAACTGTTGATAATTTTCTTTGTAAAAATTCCTAGAAACGAGTATATATTAGTTTGTGATTGTAAGAGGAACGTGAACTGTATTTAGATGGAAGAATACTATGGTAACATTTTATTCCCATTAGGAATAGATACAAGGTGAATACTATTTGTAAAAGAAACAAAAAATTTACTGATTTGTTTAAAGGTTGTTTAAAAAAGATCTATAAATAGTTTGAATTCCAATTAATGTTTCATAACATAAAACGGTGGTTAATCTCTAAAAGGAAACATTAGGCTAATTGGATTTTTAAATCTGAAAAGCCCACAGGGATAACCTTTTCTTGATTAAAAAATTTAGCTCATTTTACAGCATACATTTTGGTCAGGGTGAGGGAAGGGTAATTAACTTCCCATGGAAGATTCACTAATTAACACTAGAGCAGAATCACACTACACAAGACTTGAACTTGGAGGAAATGCAAAAGTATTTATCAGGTGCAGTGCAGTGGAATCTAACAAAATACTAGGATGATCTGTTTAATATTAATGCCTAAGTTCTATTTTAAGATAGGTTCCACAGATTTCTTAAGTTTTTTCATGAATATTAAGTTCGCTATCTTGGGTCTAGTTTCATCAAGCTTTGTGGAAGTCTTTAAGATTGCAAAATTTAATAAGTGCAAACAGATTTTATCCTGGAAACATGGGTTTTATACAAGTATTTAAAAATACAGCCTGCAGGGGCACCTGGGTGGCTCAGTTGGTTAAGCGACTGCCTTCGGCTCAGGTCATGATCCTGGAGTCCCGGGATCGAGTCCCGCATCGGGCTCCCTGCTCGGCAGGGAGTCTGCTTCTCCCTCTGACCCTCCCCCTCTCATGCTCTCTGTCTCCCATTCTCTCTCTCGGATAAATAAATAAAACCTTTAAAAAAAAATAAAATAAAAATAAAAATACAGCCTGCAGTTTTTAATTAATTAAGGCTCATTAAGTAGATTGGTTTAGTGCCACATTGCCTAAAAATCCAGTATTTCGTAGTTTCAAAAACTTCAGAGGACTTTATAAACATTATTTTGACTCTATAGTCATAGTGAAAGTAGTATTACTTTTTAGGATTATTATTTTTTTCTGTAAAATATACATATAAGTCAGTTAAAATCTGTACATTGGCTAAATTGCTACAAGTAGTTTTTGCTGGAACATATTGCATGCTTCATATTGTAAATGCATGAGAGCCTGTAGCAGAGTAGTTAGTAACTCTTCGTGATTGGAAAGGGGATGAACTGCTAGTTTAAATGTTCTTTGCAGTTTATTTTCTGTAAATATGGAGATTACATTTTGTCACTGAGGGGCTTTTCTCTTTTTTTTTTCCTATGGGAGGAGCGGGGAGAGCAAATTCAGATAGAAATAGAATTTGGGGAAAGAACTTCAAATGGCAGTACATCAGACTGAGATTGTTAATCATTCTGTTTCATGACATAAGAACAAAGCTTCCCTGGGGGCCCTTTGAGTATTAAAATGTTGACCAAGAGAGGAGACCTCCTATTTGGGGGCAGCAAACCTGATACCTGGTGGCAAGCTAATTCCCTAGTGATACTTTTGTTTCTTTTCTTTCCTTTTTCTTTTTTCTTTCTTTCTTTCTTTTTTTTTTTTTTGTGAGAAAGAGAGCGAGCAAGCAGGGGGCAGAGTAGTGGAGGGGCAGAGGGAGAGGAAGAGAGAGAATCTTCAGCAGACTCCACGCTGAGCACAGAGCCTGACGTGGGGCTTGATCTCATGACCCCAAGATCGTGACCTGAGCCGAGACCAGGAGTCAGACGCTTAACCAACTGAGACACCCAGGCTCTCCTACCTTTACGTTTCTAGTAAGTTTTGGAAAGTCTTCTGTGTAGGGGATTAAAGAGAAGGAAAGGAATCCAGGTTTGAGGGCAAAGAAGACGAAGGCAGATGGGGAATTGGAGGCAAGAAGAGAATGTCTGGAGCGGTAGGTCTGGACCAGTGGTTAACAAGGGAGTGCCAGAGAGCCTTAGAAATTTGGAGAAAGCAGCTGGCCTTACGCAGTCCTGTGGGATAGGGACGGACTTGGTTTTTCAAGGGTTGGATTTCTGAGGAGGAACTCTGTTTCCACCTGGACAGCAGTCCAGAGAGGGACCTGGGAGCCAAGTTCAAGGTCATTAGTAAACTACAGCTCACCACACAGGAAAGCCAGAGAATGAAGGAAAATGGGCCTGTGCAGAAAGAGGAAAAATGACAGGAAGTGGAATTGAGAGATCTGTGCAGTATAAACATGTGAACAGTCTTTCCATGGTACCACGCAGTCTCTCATGCTTCGGACCCCGTTACTAGCTTCCCCCAGGCATCTGGGCTTGTGAGCTCAGGGGGGAGGCTTGTTGCCCAGAAGCTGGCTGGGGCATGTGTGCCTCGTGTCCAGGGGTCAGGGGTGGCCAGGTGCGTGGCCCTGCATATCCAGCTTGCTTCTGCGGCTGTCATGTGGCTCTCGGACCTTTGGTCTGCTCTTTCTGAGCTCCCTTAGGGCCCGGGGGATCTCTCACACACCTGTGACTCCTCTGAAGTCTAAGGGGTGTTGTGTTCTCTCAGACGGGGGTGTCTGCCTTGAAGTGTGTGCAGGACCCGTTCTCAAGCTACAGAGGCCCCTTCGGGCCCTCCCCCCAAACTTCCTCCACCACACTCTGGAATCCTGACACTCATCAGAGCACTCAGGGCATCTGGGGGAGGGAGGTGGCAAGAAAATGAGAACCTCAGCACCCACCTGTGTCTACCGCTTTTATCTCCAATAACAATAAATACACACACAATGTGTTTTTCTGAGATACATTTTAATAAATTATTATTTTACAGAATTGAAATGTTTCACTACATGTTAATATGGTTCACACGGACCTGCAAAAATGCTGATTTTATTTCTCAAAGCATATGGCAAAAGCCCACATTCCACTAATAGGGAAATGAAGAAAATTATTTGTGTACGCAATGCCTGGTAGCTTGGAGCTCTAGCTTCCCCGAGTGCGGAAAATGTCACTGAGACTACTAGGCTTTAATGGGGGACGAAAGTGGGTTGCACATCCGCTAAGGGAATTTGCAGTCATTATCTTATATATGATCGTCTTTGAAAGGAAACACAGAATTAGATATTATAATTAAAATTCACTGACAACAAATAGTCCCTAAGCACTGAAAAAATCAGGTGGATAAGTGACTTTGAATCTATAATTTTACTTTCAAGAACTATACATACATTATGCAACCGTACACGTTCTCCCGAGGTGGGCAGTGCACTGTGTAATGCAATCTCGCAGTCAACAAATGCTTTGTTATTAACTTTTCCATATACTAACAAAAGCTGCAGTTGTGTAAATTACCTATCCCAATTTTCTCAGACTTTAAACATGAGAAAGATCTCAAATATTACAAAAAGAACACATACATTCATAAATAACTAAAATACAATGTGATAGCATTCTAAGATGTGAAATCCTAAAGTAGATCAAAACCATTTCCTTTATACATGAAAATAAGTTGCAAGATGTACAGTTATAATGGACCTATTCTGTAACAATATAGTTGTAACAAATCTATTTTGTTTCACATATTGGCTCAACAGAGTATCAGTTTACTGGATGTCTTATTATATGAAAGCACTATGCTAATTGCTAGGTCCAGACATGATGAATATAGTGTCCCTATTCCTAAGAGCTTCCAATTAAATGAGGAAGACAGACATGTAAAGAAATATTTACACCATAATGTGATACTCAGGGAACTGTACTCTGAATTATCCCAGCAGCCTTGTTACCCTTGGAACCAAAGCATAATTTGGTGAGCTAGTTAGATAGCTGTGGTAGGGAATGTTGTGCAAGTTGATGGGATGAATAAAGGTACCTTGGCTCACAGCATTATTTAACAATGGCATCGTGTCATGGAAATAGCCTGCTGTATCCAATCAGACTAACGGCATGGGTGAAGCTCCACACTTGGATCGTTATTACCTTAAAGCTAGTCTTTATTGATTAGTAAGCTAATCGTCCTCCCATTAACCACCAAGGATGTGACTGCTTTGGTTTCTGTTTTTTTGTATACTTTTTAAGGTCTTTATCAGAAGTGCTTTTAAGAGTCTGAAAACCCGATCTAATGACAAATGATTGAAAGACTTATTAAAATTTGGCTTTAGAATTCCTCTCCCAGAAAACTGGTGTTTGTAGTTATGTTGATGATGGTGGTGGTGGTGGGGCGGGTGGTTAAAAGGAGAACCCAGCAAGGCTCTGTCTAGCTCAGAATGGATTTGTAAGAACTAGAGAGCTGGTTCAGGGACTAAAATGCCTGAATTATGGAGAGATTCTGCAATGCTCGGCATTGCTCAACCCACCAAAAAGGCGAGAGAATTAGGATGGATTTTCTGAGGTACAAGGAAAGACATGTAACCCCAGCTGTTGTGGCAGGTTTTAAAGTGCTAAGCATTTCAACAGAAGGAAAGTGATGCCTCGGTTTTAGAGGGGAGACATGCTACTGTTTCAAATACTGGTGGACACAGCTCCCTAGGACCAGGGGCGGGAAGTTATGCTGGGAGGCCGCGAAGCTTTCAGTGTGAGCAGTAGTAGAACTTTTCAAAAATGAAGGCGTCGAGCTCTCTTCCTGAAAGAACTGAATTAGAAGTTGAAAAAAAAATCAGCTGTCAGGGTGTTTTGGCATTTAGAGGGGTTTCTCTCTAGCACGTCAGAAGCTGTGTTAGATTCTAAGGCTATTTTCAAGTTTGAATAGGAATCTAGGATTTAGAAGAGTTATCTTTTGGTAAATGTGTAATAGTGTCATCCCGTGATTATATTCCCTAACTAGGTATTAAATTTGATTAAGCATCATAGTGCCATCAAACAGAATTGATTTATAAACACATCAAGGTTTTTAAGATATGTTCTTTTAAATCATATAATCTTTAACTAGAATCCCTACATTTAACTAGACAGCAACATTTGCAGCAAAATAGGAACTAATTCGGGAGAAAATTTTAGGTGCTGGTCTTTCAGTTTCTATTCTCTGTGAAAGAATGTGCACCTACAGCAGAGGGGGGGAATTCCCTATGAGCAGTGCACTAGAAATGTCAGCACCATTTACAGATTTTTCCTGAGTGATTAAAAAAAAGAAGAACAAATTCTCTTCAGTAAGACTGCTCCTGAACGGGTGTAGGTCTGTTGAAACCTTGAGCATGCAGAGCCACTGAAACCAAGTTCCTTAGAACCTAAAACGCTAAATACATCGGAGGAGGAAGTCATCAGCCGTATGTCAGAAAACTAGTGAGATGGAAATGTGTAAAGAGCGTGTAGAAATCTTTGGTTGTCTACCGCTGTGTAGGAACTTATTGGGCCAACCAACTGCCACAGGGCATGTCTGAAGACTCGTCTTATTCTGAATATGGCTTTGCCAAGTGGAGTCAAGTGATTTCTTACATTGAATGGAAATCGGCTTCCCTACACATTCCAGCCTTTCTTTTTAGGTTGCCCTCCGGGGCGGCCCACCGCAAGACATTTTTGAGCGTACATTTTCAATTCTCAATATAAAAGACCTTCCAAACACGGGATCCAATTAAACTGAGAAGGAGGACCTGAAAGTAACACTACCTGGTCCACAATATACCTAATCATCAACACTGTATTTACTGCTTCCCTATCTCAGAATGTCAATACATGTTTCTCTCTGCTTGAGTCTGATTTTCTAAACGGTGCCCCTTGGGCTACGCACACTGTGCACATATCCAGTTGCTCTTGATACGTGGGAAAAACGGAATCGTGTTGCGGGATGTGGTCACTCTCAAATCGCACTCTCGCTTTCCAGGGTAGCATGATTGAATACTGCTGTGATAAAGACTCCTTTCCCACCCAGAGCTGGAGTTGAGTGTTCTGGGGAGGTAGTGAATTTTGATTATGCTAATATTCTTCATACTGCTCAGTCGGACAACCAATAGATGAACAAAAGGTGCTCCACATTTTAAATCAAGTTTGTAGATCACTCCAGGAGTGTGCATTAACTTTGAATTGATCTCATATAAATGTTGAATTTAATCATCTTTATATATAATAATGCCATATAGCTTTCAATTTTAGAAGGTGTTACAATATTAGAATTTTTTTTTACGTGCATAATCCAAATGATAAAGGATTTAGGAATGTTTAACAGAATTCTTCCACAAGAATGAAAGCAATCTGGGTAATGAGCACAATGATTTTGTCTCACAATGCAACGTTGGCTGAAGGAGGATCATGAAGGGAAAGCAGACTTCAGAGGGAAAAAAAAAAAAAGACTCAGGGAAGAGGCCATAGATAAAGGGATGTGTTATTTCCTCTGACCTAACTTTACAGACAGGGATACAGCTCTTTCCGGGGGTTCTGAGAATAAGCTTGAGAGATCAGAGACTTGCCTGTCAGAGATCCAGAACGGAGGGTGAGGCCAGAATGCCAGGCATGGTTCTCGGACAGTGAAGCCAGGGATCGATGGGCAGGATGAGAAAGATATAACCAGTTCAGTCACTGACCACGCATGCATGTGGCTGGGTTCCCCGAGGATGTGGAACACAGACAACCCATTGTCAATACGGCAGACAGATAATGTAAATGTGACACCTTTATAAGAAGATGCAAAATTAGAGAGAACAAGATGCATTATTACTGGAGCCAAGCCCAGGACAGACTGCAAGGACAAGGTGGCAGGGACAAAGAACAGTAAACAAAGGAAGAATTTAGGTGTGACGACCAGACAGAGTACTTTCCTTGCCGTTGTAGCCGACACAGAGCACTCCGTTGCAGATGGAAAGGGATGGCAGTGAGAAAAAAATGATTAACAAGTAAACTGCAGCAACTGTAGAAGAAACGCAGCAAGCCTTGTGTGTTAGAAGGTGTATGAGATCATATGCAGAGGGAGCGACCTAGGCCTTGTTTCTAGAAACATTACCAGGAATCAACAGCCAATGAGAAGATGGGCAGACGTCAAGATAATCTAATAATGAAACAAGATCAGGAAGGGATTCTCTTTCACCTTAGTTTCTCCTTTCTGTAAGAGATTAACAATTCCTAGAGTCAGTAATTAAAACAGTATTTATTTTAAACATACTTTAATTATTTATATATGTTTAAATTAACAGTTCAGTAAATCCACAGATAGGTCACCCACTGTGTTAGGGTCTTTCTTAAATAATTTGTTTCCAAAGCCACAAATATGCACACAAAAGCCTTCACTGAATTTTTTTTCTTGCGCGCACACACACACACACAGGAAAAGGCAGAGCCAACTTAGGAAGGAAGGCCAACAATTCTACAGAATACTTTTTATGCAACTGTCATCTGATTAGGGACAGTCCGATTTTGGAATTGCATGATCATGTAGTCTAATGTCCTGTTCTATTTTGAAAAAAATATATTTGAAGCTTACGATTGCATAAACTTATATGGTATAATAAATGGACCTTTATTTAGGTATATTTCCACTTTTACAGCCTAATATGGCTATATCTTTTAAACTTATGAAAGAAACATACTCTCTTGCAACACAGAATCATCCTACCTGAGAACAAGGATGACTGACTGATACTCTTTCTTTGTTTGGGTTAAAGATGACTAAGCATCTAAACAGATACATCAGGTTGTAAATAAGATCAATACCAAAAACCTAGTCATTTTTAAAAGAATTTGGAAAACAATTCACTATGAATAACTTATGTAAGTAGTAAACCAACACGGTGCTTTATAGTTGGTATATATCATCAAAGAAAACTGATATGGTACTAATTTAAATGTTGAAATTTCTTAATTAATTAATTTGTCCAAACTCAGATTTGGACATTTAAAAATTTAAGAAATGCAACATAAGAATACACTTATCTAGAGGTCAGATTTCCTACATCCTCAGTAATCCTGGAAACTGGCAAGGATACAGAAAAAGTATTTGAGGATTACCATATCAGAATCCAGGAACTTCACTCAATGGGTTACATGTTAAGATAGACTCAGATTGGGTGTAACTTAGAACTAATAATTAAATGAAGAATGTTAATTTACTGAGCCTGAGCCACAAAATAAGAAAGATATGATATTGCTAGAAATTGAAGCCAACTAACACTGAGAACTAATAGAATCAGCAATTTTAAAAGCATTTCAGTAATTGCCATTGGCATTATGGCATTATGTCATGGAACATTATGCTCTTAATGAAGAGTTGAATCATAAAAAAAAAGTCAAGCCATGTTTAGTGTATAGCTTAGAAGCCCAGGGGGAAATACACTGCATTTTAGAAAAGTGTACCTGACGAAAAACAAAACAAAACAAAAAAAAACAACAAATGGTGGAAAAAAAAGGAAGGGCTTAAAAGAAGCTAAGCCATGATTGGAAAGGATAGGAATTCAGCCCCTCTTACTCCTGTAGTAACAGGGCAGGCTTCTTACCTCTTTGTTATTTAATTTTCACTTCACCTAACATAGTGTGCAAGTAATCCATTTCCACTACCTAAACAGATTTTTCCCGTCTAGATAGTACAAATCTGTGAACACTGATTTTGTTCTTACTGGTCTTTCATGGATAAACTACTCTAAAAATCAAGACATCGATACCTATGTGTTTTACTTACGTATGAGGATACTAAGTATTCTGGATTCTCCACGATTAAATTATATTCAATATAATGTCTGGTAAATGTACTTTGTGTTTAAAGTTTCTGGCAACTGCTAAGTTCTATATGCTGTACATTCATAGTGATTCTCTAACAGGGGGTACATTTTACTTTACTAAGAGGTAAAGACCTTGTTACCAACTACAGGTTAACAGATTTACAGTAGGTTTCTAGACCTGGAATCATTTTAGACTGTGCTCCTTTCAGAAATGATTAGAAAACCACGGGTCTCTGTATTTATTGAACCGAATCACCTGGCAGTAAAATTCAGTTAAGGCTCTTGGCATCGGTGAGACTTCTTCCCATTCAGATCTACTGCTGTGGTAGACCTGCACTTCATCTGTGATTTCATCTGGTGCGTAATCACCACCTAAGATATAGATTTTATCTTCGATCCCAACTGCACCTGCGTTAAAGCCTGCACATTCAAAAGAGCCTTCCCCCTTCCAGACGCAAGTATCTGGACAAAAACTATACACCTTGTAGGTGGAAAGGTCACATATATACAGCGTGCAGTTGACCGGGACAGCTTTAATCAGGGTTGCATGGAAAAACTGCCCGAACTCTGCTACCAGTTCCGACCACTGGTCAGTGGTCGCGTTGTATTTAAAGAAGCAGTCGAGTGATGGGTTAAAGGCATCTGTAATCTCTACCTCTGATCCAAGAACATAGATGACATTCTGGCATGCACTCGCTTCGGGATAGTATATGCCCCGGGGTAACGGGCTAACAGATAGCCATTCTTTGGAAAGAGGGTTGTAAGACTCAACATCTAAGAGACTTTTAATGTCCTGAGACCCTCTGGTCTTCCCACCAATGACAAATAATCTATTGAGAGCCAGAACTGACGTGTGCATGGTTCTTGGTGTCTTCATAGTTGATACCAGGAAGAAATCGTTTTTCACTGGACAGTAGCACCAGGTCTGATCGGTCGCGTCGTGATAGGACTCCGCGATATGAAGCCGGACAGTTCTGCAGCATGGCCCTTTGCAGCCTCCTGTCAGGAATATCTTCTCTCCGTAACTAGACAGACTAGACCCTGGCAAATCGATCAGCTGTGACTGTGGCAGCACTTTCCACGAGTCACTATTGATATTATAGCAAAATGTATATTGGTCGCCTCCATTTTCCTCAGTTTTGTGAACAAATATGTATTTTTCAGTGGTGGATGGCCGAGCATCAGGGAAGAGTCCCCCAGAACCTTGCACACACTTAACGGCATCCATGACCATGTCAAAGCAGTTTGTGCTTTTGAGTAAACACTCTTCGTTGAGCAGACAGTCTTGAAGGGTCTCCTCAGATAACTGATGTAATCGTACTTTTTTAATCAAATAAGGCAGATGCTTTTGTCTCGATTCTAAGTTATGTTTGGTCCAACTAAGGACAACTTTCAGGACAGTTTCTTCTTCGGGGACATTTAACTCATCTGACTCCAGACATTTTTGCAGGACTCCAAAATTCATCTCTAAGAAATCACTGGACTTAAATAGCAAGGAAAAGTGGTTCTGTACAAAGTACAGTGCGTGATTGAACAAGCGGGGGGAGCCGTAGCTGTCTGACATAGATAGTAACTGCAGACAGTTGACAAGGTTAATACTTTTTATTAAAAAGTCACTGCAAGCTTTGGCTAGGAAGGAGACTTGAAGAAACGAGGACAACTGGAAGAACATTTCCACATTATCATCTGTTATCTGTGTTTTCCCGGTATAGGCGTAGTCAAGGAACGCCTTCACGGCTTTGGAGGACAGATTAGTGATGGTGACGCTCCCACCGTCTCTCTCTCTCATGTTCACTTCAAACATAGCCCTGCAACAGTAAAGAACACAGAAGAGCAAGTGGGAAGAGGTCATTCCCTGCTAGTTTTCAACATTACCTTCTAGACGCTTCCTTGACCCTCAGGTTGATTTAAAATATATTTCACACATGTCAAGTCTGTATTTATGAAACATTTTAAAAGCATCTTGATCAGTTGTTTTAATATCTAGAATAGTTGTGTACTGCATTGTTTAAGACATACGTTGTACCACCTAACTCCCATACTGCAAAATACATAGGCTACAGCTGAGCTACCGCACCTCATCCAAGGAAGGCTATAAGAAGATTCACATTTTGTAAACTAATTTCATGCTTTTAAATATCATTCATAAAATTAGGGTAAAATCTCTCTAATGGCTGAATTTCCTTTTTTTATGAGTTAATTAGTATCCACTCTGCAGGTGATAACTAGAAGTACTTAAAATATATAATGCTTCTGGGTTTAGGATGTAAAAGTATCTTGCACAGTAATTTTCAGTTTGGCAGCTGTGAAACATGTGGAAGGTGGAATGCTGTGAGGTATCAGATGTCTCCAAGGAGTCTGTCTGTGTGGGAAATCCACCAAACGAGATATATTCAAATACACGTTGAAAGAGACATATTTCATGCAGCACTTTAGGAAAAAAGGGGAATGTGATTTCATGGAGCTAAACGCCAACCCAAAAGGCTAAAAGTAAGTTTTCGAAGAAACAGCCACTGAGAGATGGAGGTGGTCCCTAGATTTGAGTTAGAGCAGACTGAGTTCTTCTGAGCTGTAATTCATCACCACCTGGCCGAGGGGCTAGAGTCTAAGGAAGTGGGAACTTTTGGGGCTCAATTTAAGTGAAAATATAAATTATTTGCAAATGTTTGGGCAGGAGACTAAGACTTATTTTACTATTGGTTTGGTAGACCAATCTTGGCACCCATCCTTCTGTTGACTTCACATCCAGAATGATTCATTTTTACACAGACTTGCTATGGTGGTTGTCAGTGGAACAGCGAGTGGAGGCTGAGCTGAAAGAGAAAGAGCTTCAAGAAAGAACTAAGGACCACCCGTGGTTGCACCTCCGGCAGGCCTGGAGTGACTGGTTTGGGTTCTGGCTTAATACTGGTTTGCGCCTGTATCAGAACCGTCCCGGATACCTTTGTGAGCAGTGCCCCGAGCTACTCAAGTGCGCTGGGGGAACCAGTTCAGTTCTTCAGTCTGTTCTAGAGGGTAGCCAAAGCTACTCAGGAAGCGCTAGTATCCGACTGAGAAGTATGAGGGGCCCTCCAAACCCGGAACCCCCCTCAGGACAAGGAAGGATGACAAAGTGCCTTCCCACTAGGCTACTGGGTTCTTCTTAATCTGCAAATGAATGCAGTTACGCAGATCACGTACATGTTCTACATCATACAGGGTATTTAAATAATGTTAACCCAGCAATACGAAACTCTGATGATAATTATATTGGATTATGGAGACAGGGATCATCAGTTTAGGGTAATATTAACAGCCTGACCTCGAGACTCTGGCTGCCTGGGTGGGTATCTGGCCATTGTCACTCACTAGCTGTGTGACCTTGGGGGGGACTTCATTGGGCTTCAAATCCTTCATCTGAAAGTGGGGATCTTGTAGTATCTACGTCACTGAGTTTTCAGAGGCACAAATGAGTTAATCAATGCAAAGTATTAGCTACGATCATTATTTTAAGAAAGTGTTTTCTGACAGATCCTATATATTTTTAATTTATCACCAGCTTCCACATTTTCTTTGAGAAGACACAAGTAGGATCATATTTCTGTACTTCATCCTGTTCATCTTTAAAGTATCCAGTTAACATCCATCTCAAATTTACCATATTATCATAAAGTGGTTGTACAAGATGTGTGATTCCTCTTCAATCTTCTCTCCGTGATTTTACATCTCATTTATAACTTTCATTTTCCAAAATCATTATAAAGTGCACTTCTCATGCACTGTACACTTTCCTGCTAATTTATATTTTTCCTGCCAGTATTCCAGTGACTTTGATAACACAAATACTATGAATTGGTGGCCTCATCACCTAAGAGTGTAAATTACAGAATTTCAGTCTTTATTTGTACATATTTTTATATGAACTGTGTATTCCTTTAGTAAAATACTATATATAATAAAGGACCTAGGTCATTATAAGACTGCCATTTGTGTTACTTCAAAGCAGGGAAAAAATTTTAAAAACATATATATTGTTCTGTTTTTTAAACAGGATTTTTAAAAAATTTAAAACAGGTCCATAAAAGTTAGGAGTAGGCTGAACAAAATATTGTGGACAGAAATTATGTGCAGATACATTTAATTAATAAATAACTTCTACATGAAGAGTAGAGGACTGCCAATCCAAATGTTTACATGAACTTTTTTTTTTTTTTAAAGATTTTATTTTTTTGAGAGAGAGAGAATGAGAGAGCGCACATGAGAGGGGGGAGGGTCAGAAGGAGAAGCAGACTCCCTGCCGAGCAGGGAGCCCGATGTGGGACTCGATCCAGGGACTCCAGGATCATGACCTGAGCCGAAGGCAGTCGCCCAACCGACTGAGCCACCCAGGCGCCCCGTGAATAATTTTTTAAAATGCAAATTAGTATTTCAAATCAAGTTATACAAATAATTGACCATAGAATAATTTGCAGCTTCCTAGTGCCTGATTTGTTCTATTTGCAGTCATTTTTCTTTTTTTTTTTTTAAAGATTTTATTTATTTATTTGAGAAAGCGAGAATGAGAGAGAGCACATGAGAGGGGGGAGGGTCAGAGGGAGAAGCAGACTCCCTGCTGAGCAGGGAGCCCGATGCGGGACTCGATCCCGGGACTCCAGGATCACAACCTGAGCCGAAGGCAGTTGCCCAACCCACTGAGCCACCCAGGTGCCCCTACATGAACTTCTTATTTTGTTAACATGATAGGGAAATCAACCTGTGTGTTTGCACCAGATTATGTCCATTTTTTGCTAGGTTTGGAAATAACAGAACTCATAGCATCTAGTGTTAGTTGAATGTAGCGGACACGGTCCTAATCAGTACATATACATTACTTCATTTAACCCTCATAATGACTCTGTAATTTATTGTCTTAATTTTTACAAATAAGGAACCTGAGGCCTGAAGAAATTAAGTCACTTGCTTCAAGTCACGTCTGATTAAGTGGCAGAACCAGGATTTAGATTTAGGGCCTGTGTATTCAGAGGCCAGGTTCTTAACCGTTACAGCATCCAGCTTCCTGTCAGGAAGAGGTGACAGAGGGTGGGGGAGCAGAATGGAGCTACTAGGAAGAAAACCTGGAGTCGAACAGAGCAGGGAAGAAACTGGTGGAACCATAGAATGGCAGAGCACAGGGACAGTGGGGGCCCCAGTGGAGTTCGAAGAATAGCTTAGGTTACCTGAGAGAAGACATGACAGGAACAGAGAAAGAACCAGTGTCTGGGTAGGGCCAAGGTGTATCTTCCACGTCCCTGGTGGGGTGGGACACGGCACTGAGCCACTGCTCCCCACGCAAGCAGGAAACCCCCCAGGAACGGGAGTTTAGCAAGTAGTGAATATCAATACACTTCTGCGGATTCACTCCAGGGCAACAGGGGTGAGGTCTAATCAGATGCTGGTGGCAAAATAGGAGTTTAATTAAGGATTAAAATCAGTATAAGCTAACTTGCATCTAGTGTATTTATATCTTAAATCTTACTCTGTTTTTATAAATTTTAATTACTAGAGATTTAAGTCATCCTTATTTAAAATAAAAATTGTTTCTAAAACTGAACATAATGCAAATACTGCAATTAGGATTAAATTTATTGCAATGTGACTGGGAGGGCTGAAGACCAGGATGTCACCAAGAGAGGTTTGTGTGTCTGACCAAGAGGCCTCACAGGATGGTATGACCTTGATGCAGTTACCGCAGTACTAAGGTCATATGTCTGACACTTACCCTTGCAGAATCAGAAACCCACTGTCGCCACAGGGGGTTCTAACAGTGTTATGATTAGGACATTCCCTGTAAGGATGACCTACAAGGGGAACCAAGTTATATTCAGAAGGTTGCCTAGAATCAGAACAAGTTGGGTGTTCTCCAGAAATGCTTCTGGAGGTACCTTTCCCCTAGAGGAATATCTTTGTCAAAGAGAGGAGAAATCTTGAAATCCTCTGTGTGAGTCCCTCTCCCTTGTATAACCCACAGATACATGACTGAACTCAGTTTTCCTTTCTTTTGAACTATATTTCCATTTTTTAATCCTTTTGTCCTCTCCTTTTTTTTCCTAAACAGTGCAGTGCAAGAACTCTCCCAAACAAAACTGACTCTAGATCGAAAATTTTTTTTTTCCCCCAGAACATTTCAAGGGACCAATGTTCCGTATAACTTTAGGAAATGCTGACCTGGGAGAACCTGAACCATTAAAAAAGGTAGTCATAAATCTTCATATTCAAAAATCACTAGTTAATCTAGGTTCTAATTAGTTTTTATTTTAAGAATTAAAAATTACTGTTGCATGCTCCTGTAGGGGAGAAATTCAGTAGTTATGAAACATAATAACACAGAATCTGAGGCACAGACAGACAAGTGAAGTACCTGAAAAAGTCACTGCACGCTGCTAAGACACAGCGATGACATGGAATTATTTCATCTTTCATGATTATTTGGAAATCATAAAAGACATTTTGTTCTCTAAAATTCTGCAGTACACTTAAGATTTTCTGTCCATGATCTTCGGATACAAGGAAGTTGTTTTTCTTCTCAGATGGAAGTCCGTTACATGAGTTTCGTTGATTGAAATGATATGAATTATCCATAGCCAATTTCCTTTGTTCTTAGGACTGGAATGGAAAAGAAAAATCACTGCTGTGGTGAGTCCTGATGATATTTCAGATCCAAAGTCTGTTTAGTGTCATTTACACTGAGAACAACTATAACATAGTAAACCTTGTTCTAAACATTTGTTTTCATGACATTTAATAATAAATTTCTTTGGAATTTTTATTAATATTGAGATTCCTGGGATAAAAAGTATTATCAAATAGAAGGATAAAGTTCAAGGCTATATAATTGTGTCAAATAGCACAATTTTTAAGTTGTATGTGCAGCTCACATAGGCTCTCACTACATGACTAGTCTTGTTACGTGTAGAGGTATTATTTACCCAGTAGTTACCACATGGCTGTATACCCAACACATCCCTGTCCCCTCCCATCCATTTTCTTCTAGCAGCAAAGAAGATGTTAAAATATATGCCTTCTGGGGCTCAACTTTTCAGAGATAAATGACCGAAAAGGACCAGCGTGTTAGACTGTATTAACTAGTTATGGCCTTTAGTAAGGAAAGAAACGCAAGCATTGGTCCAAGTTGGCCTATTTGGATGCCTTTTATTTCTTTTTCTTGTCTGAGTGCTGTGGCTAGGACTTCCAGTGCTATGTTGAATCAAAGTGGTAAGACTGGACCTCCTTGTTTTGTTCCTGACCTTAGAGAGAAAGTTCTCCATTTTTCCCCATTTAGGATGATATTAGCTGTGGATTTTTCATATATAGCCTTTATTATATGGAGGTATGGTCCCTCGAAACCTATTTTGTTGAGGGTTTTTATCATGACTGGATGTTGAACTTTGTCAAATGCTTTTTTTCTGCATCTATTGAGATGATCATATGGTTCTTATTTTTTCTCTTATTGATGTGACGTATCACGTTGATTGATTTGCGAATATTGAACCATCCTGGCAACTCAGGAATAAATCTCTCTTGATCATGGTGAATGATTTTTCTAATGTATTGTTAAATTTGGCTGGTAGTATTTTATTGAGATTTTTGCATCTATTTTCATCAGGGATATTGACCTGAAGTTCTCTTTTTTAGTGGACTCTTTATCCTGTTTTGGTATGAGGGTAATGCTGACCTCATAGAATGAATTTGGAAGTTTTCCTTTCTTTTCTATTTTTTGGAATAGTTTGATAAGACAGGCATTAACTCTTCTTTAAATGTTTGGTAGAATTCCTCTGTGAAGCCATCTGGTCCTAGACTTTTGTTTGTTGGGAGTTTTTTGATTACGGACTCAATTTCTTTGCTTTGGTCTGTTCAAGTTTCCTATTTCTTCCTGTTTCAGTTTTGGTAATTTATATGTTTCTAGGAATTTATCCATTTCTTCCAGGTTGTACAGTTTGTTGGCATAGTTTATCATTAAAATTCTCTTGTGATTGTTTTTCTGTGGTGTTGGTTGTTATTTCTCCCCTCTCATTTGTGATTTTGTTTGAGTCCTTTCTCTCTCTCTCTCTCTCTCTCTCTTTTAAGCCAAGTTGGCCTATTTGAAAGCAGGACAGAAAATAGTATAACTTTACTTAAAAAGGCCTTTTAAACATGAGATCAGAAATCCAAGATAGTGAAAGGCCAGATCATTGTGACTTTCCCAAATTCAGTTCTGTGCATACAACTTTACCCCACCAAAAAGCAGGGAAGTGGGAAACAGAAAGGAAAAGAAGATTGGAAACAGGGGAACCAGAGAAATAGGGAACCTTGGTTCTCTCAGTATGTTTTTATTCTGGTCATCTATTGCTTTGCAATTCACCAGAAAACTTAGTAGCCTATGACAACAATTTATTATCTCTCGTAGTTCTCTGGGTTGAGCTGTAGCTTCTTGCTTGGGGCTTTCATATACTTAGAGTCAGATGGCAGTTCTGGCCGAAGTCATCTGAAGGCCTGACTGGGCTCCAGGTCCAGTATGGTTCCTTTTTTCCCATTTCTGATGCTTCAGATGGGATGGCTAGAACAGATGGGTCTCTGTCTGTTTTTGTGTGTGTCTCTCTCAATTCACTTTCTCCATGTGGCTAGCTTACACTTCCTCACAGCATGGCAGTCTCAGGGTAGTTGGACTTCTCACATGGTGGCTTCGTTCTCCCAGAGGGAGTGTTTCAAGCCCAGGTGGAAGCTATACATGGAGAAGTAGTCTGAATGGTCCTAGAGCATCAATTAAAGCTCTAGTCTAGGACTGAGACCATCTATTGCTATGTTGTCCAATACAGTAATCATGAGCCGTGCATCACTATTTAAATTTAAATTATCTGATTAAATTAAATAAAAAATTTAGTTCTTTGGTTGCCCTAACAACCATATTTTAAGTAATCAGTAGCCATATGTAGTGTGATGATTACTTTTATGTGTCAACATGACTGGGCCATGGAGTGCCCAGATATGTGGCTAAGCATTATTTCTGGGAGTGTCTGTGGATGAGATTAACATTTGAAGTGGTAGACTCGGTAAAGCAGAGTGCCCTCCCTCATGTGAATGGGACTCATCCAGTCCTTTGAAAGCCGGAACGGAACACAAGGCCAAGTAAGAAAGTATTCTTTCCGTCTCTTGGACTGTCTTGGAGTTGTGACGTCAGGCTTCTCCGGCCTTTGTACTGAGACTCAGGGCTGTCACCGTCCCGCTGGCTCTCTTGCTGGCTCTCCTGGCAGCATGTCGGCTGCAGATCTCAGGGTCTCTCAGGCTCCATGATCACAGAAGCCAGCTTCCTATTGTCAGTCTGCCTGTCCGTCCATCTCTCTAGTTGGTTCTGTTTCTCTGGAGACTGCACTATCACATACGGCCAGCGGCTATTACATTGCACAGCAGAAATCTGTAGTATTTTCATCATCACAGGAAGTTCCACTGGGTGGCTGATGTACTGCGTGAAGGGCAATGTGTGCACACATGCATGGGAGGGAGAGCGAGTGTGCACAATCGGGGGAGGGTAATAGGATGTGACTGGCAGTGTTCCTTGAAAAATAAACTCCCTGCAGTGATTCTGTGAGCAGCATTCTAAAGCAGCTATAAGGAGGGAGACCTAATGAGAGTGGGCGTCATGAAGGGAGAGAGATAATGAGAGGCTTGGGGGCAGTTCCGAAGAAAAGGAAGGCAGAAAACAGTTGCACCAGTCAGAGTTCTCTAGAGAAGCAGAACCAATGAACCAATAGGCTACAAGTCTACTGGTTTTGTGTACACACACACACACACACACACACATACTGGTACATGTAGTTTTATAGTGTGTCTATAAAAAATAAGGACTTGGTTCACAAAATTATGGAGGTCCCAAGGTCTGTGGTTGGCAAGCTGGAGACCCAGGACAGCAGAGGGTATAAGTTCAAGTCTGAAAGCTGGCAGCCTGGAAACCTGGGAACAGCTGATTTTTCAGTTTGAGTCCAAAGGCAGGAAATGACTGTCTCAATGCAGCACTCAGGTAAGTTTTCTCTTACTCAGCAGTTTTGTCTTATCCAGGTCTTCAACTGATTGGGTGAGGCCCACCTTCATTAGGGAGGAAAACCTGCTTAGTCAGTTTGTCTATCCAAGTGTTAATCTCATCCGGAAACACCCTCATAGAAACACCCAGAATAACATTTGACCGAATGTCTGGGAGCCCTGTGGCCCAGTTAAGTTGATACAATAATCATCACAACATTCCAAATCTTTACTTCAGAATGTTGTTAATATGTGACCTAGGGCAGAAAAGAATATATAACCCCGAGTTAGAGTGGGGTACACAGATAATTATATACAGCTACCATCCCAAGAGTCATTCCTCACCTCACAAGGCATGCCTCTTAAGTCACTTGTAAAACTCTGATTTTAAAATTATGGATGTTTTTTCCTCCTCTTCTAGTAACTATAAATCATCCATCTTCCCAGGGGAACGATGTAATGTGAGGTAGTAGGATGAGCAGGGCTTCAGAATCAGACAGATGGGCTCCAGCGCTGCTCCAGCACTTTACTGGGGATATAGTTGAGGCAAGGAGCTTCTAGTCTTTGATTCTCATTTTTTCCTTCTATAAAATAGGGATAAACTGTACCTGTCTATAGTTGTGTTGCTGAGAAGGGTAAAAATAATACATACTTTAGCAATTAGTATATGCTAAATAAGTGAAATTTAGTATTTATTTTCTACTAAAAATTTAACATAAAAGCTAAGGAAATGCCTTAATTGCCACTAATCAAGAGGTTTATATGCATAATAAGGTGGTGGGGGGAAGAACAGGAGAAGCAGTCTCTAATAATTCCTAAGGCATAAGAGAACAGTTGAACACAAGAGCTATCCCTGTAATGTAGTTTATCTGGAGTGCCAGGATCAGGTGAGAGAAAGACACACTGGTTGAGACTTGAGCCAGCCTCTCTTACTGACTCCATAATGCTGGAAAGGAACATTTAAGGGGAAAGGCCAGGGAATATGTACAATACACAAAATGGTACACAGAGCAGATAACCAGCATGATCTATGCTAGACAGACAGACATGACTTAATGCTGTGCAAAGGATCACAGCATCTTCTCAAGCACACAATGAGACCAGGGTATATCTCCTGGTCTGTTTTTCAAGTCTACTGATGGGCTGGAGCGTCCATAATCTGTAACAGCAACGTGGGGTCTCTCCACAGCTGCCTCAGAGAACCACAGAATTGGTGGGGAGACTCAGTCCACACAGCCTACATACCCTTTGGAACTGCTCTAAATCCTCATCCATTTTGATATGTATTAAATCCCTCTGACAGAGGAAGTTAGATACTGTAGATGGAAAGATACATTTAGCTCCTACAATCGTAGACTCTTCTTGGTTTTTAAAAGTTCTCTCAAAGTTTAGGATTATTGGTGCTGACAAGGCTCTGTGATCCCCATAGGACAACATAAAGCAGAATTACTACCTTGGCCTCCAAGCCATTTAGTCAGGGAGAGAGAGGAGAGAACGTGGCTAGATGCTGAATACTCGTTTCACAACACTTCGTTCTGTATATGATTATGTATGTGTGTGTGTCTATACATACAATTTAATTTTAATTTTAAAATATATTTTTTATTGGGCATTAAAAATATCTCTGTTTTTCAATTCTTTAATGTGGCCATAATTACCAGTGGACTACAAAGTTCAAGTAATATCATTCTGATCCCCCCACCATAACTCTACTCTTTTTGGGTTTCCCATTGAGATGAATGGCTCTATATTCCCCAAGCCAGACACTTGGAAGTCTTCCTTCACCCGCCATATCTATTTTTTTTTTTTTAAGATTTTATTTTTATTTATTCATGAGAGAGAGAGAGAGGCAGAGGGAGGAGCAGGCTCCCGCTGAGCAGGGAGCCCGATGCAGGGCTCGATCCCAGGACCCTGAGATCATGACCTGAGCCGAAGGCAGACGCTCAACCGTCTGAGCCCCCCAGGCGCCCCCGCCATATCTATTTTAAAACCACTACCTTTTCTTCACCCCTACTGCCACTCTTTGAGGTAAATGTCTCATTGTTCTCACTTGAATTGCCTCCTCTCCGATCTTCCCTCTTCTGTAAACTTTTATTGAATATCTCCTGGGCTTCAAACCTGCTCAGGCATGGGGCATCTAAAGATAAAGGAGTCACAGGGTCCCCGCTCTTGCCGGCTTACAGGCTGGTGTGGAGAAAAAGAAGTAACAAATGAGCGTCTTAGTAGAGATATGAAGAATGTTATGGAGGCAGGTGGAAGGACAAAGCTCAGACTTGTTCTCAGGGGTGAGGAGGACAGAGCAGAGAGCGCAGAGAGGGGAGAGGATGGAGGAAGACATTCTGATGGTACTTGAGCTGTTAAAGAAAAATTAAAAGATGATTACCAAAGAAGGTGAGAAAAACATTTCCAAGAGAGAAAAACTGTAAGTGCAGAGGCATGGATGAAAGAGTTACCACAGCCCCTTGGGAGAAACACATGTTGAGGAGCAGAGATCGGGCAGATAAAGCTGAAGTGGAAAGGGGGGCTGGTTCATGCAAAGTTGCATACCATGCGAGGGGGCTTGGCTTTCATTCTAGAGGTAATGAGGAATATTTAGAAGGACTTTAAGTTGGGGTGGCATTACACCATGGATTTACATTTTAGAAAGATCATTCTACTAGGGAATATCAGCAGTAAATGACTAAGATGTGGCTCTTATTCTCATGGAGCTTACTATCTAAGGTTCACTGGCATGAATAAGGTAAATTTACAAAGTTGCAAACACTGGTTTTTGTTTTTTGGGTTCTTTTTTGGATAAGAAATAAATTGTTGTTGTTAAGCCACTGAAATGTGTCTTACAACAAATAGGATTATTTTAATTAATGCACGTGAATTTTAATCCCAGTAACTCAAGCACATTTCTTTTTTTTTTTTTAAAGATTTATTTATTTATTTGAGAGAGAGAGAGAGAGCATGAGAGGGGGAGAGTCAGAGGGAGAAGCAGACCCCCCTCTGAGCAGGGAGCCCGATGTGGGACTTGATCCCAAGACTCCAGGATCATGACCTGAGCTGAAGGCAGTCGCTTAACCAACTGAGCCACCCAGGCGCCCCTCAAGCACATTTCTTAATCTAAGTATTTAGCTGTTGATTCTTCAGTGTTTTCTGCATAAAAATGACATCATTTGTAACAAATGGGGCTTGTTTTCTCTCCTATTTTTTACATTATTTTTTCTTTTACTACAGAAGTAGCTAAGCCCTCCTGTACAATGTTTAATTAAGTCAACAATGGTTTGCATACTTTTTAATATGTAATTTCTTGGATTAAATCAATTATTGACGCTCACAGTTCACAGGTCACAAGTGAACCCAATGATATATGTATACAGTATTTTTTATTTCTGTGACAAATAATGTAAGTAAAACCACTTAGTAGAAACTTTCAAGTATCAAATTTATATATTTGCATTATGCATAGGTATTCATTTTGATGAAGCTGTTACAAGTTCAAGCCTGTCATGTTTACTCCATATAGAATGGCCAAGCAGAGAAGCTGAAATTTTCTATTTTCTTAACTTGGTTTGAGTACTTTTGTATATGTAGATTTTATTTAATCATGATAAAGTTAAGTGCTATCAACGAGAAAGGGTGCTGGAAGGTTTATGAAGGGGATAGGGGAACTCAATTCACAAGATAACTAAAGCCACTGAAATGGATAAAAATCAATCAAGGAAAATAAATAAAATTAGTAAAGAAGAGGGCCAAGAATGGAACACTGAGGATAACTAACCTTAAGGGATAGACCACTTAGTTGAAGAATAATTTGTTTATGACCAGACTTTGTTATTGGTCCCACATTTATTCATGAGAAAACCTCTCCACAAACAAAGAACAGAGAAGGACTTCCTCAACTTGATAAAGAACATCTATTAAAAAATCTACAGCTAACGTTATACTAAATGGCAGGAGACTGAATGCTTTTCCTCTAAGATGATGAAGATGGCAAATATGTCCACTTTTACTATTGCTATTCATCATAGCACTGGAAGTTCTTAGATCTTAGTTCTTAGATCTATGATATTAAAAGCACAAGCCATAAATCAGAAGAAAAATGCTAATTGAATGTTATCAAAATTGAAAACGTTTCCTCTGTGAAAGACCCTGTTAAGAGGAAAAAAAGACAATTTATAGCCTGGGAGAAAATGTTTGCAAATGAAATCTGATAAAAGATTAATAATCTGTAATATATAAAGAATTCTCAAAATCCATCAGTAAAAAAAACAATTCAATTAAAAAATGGGCAAAAGACAGGAAGAAATATTTCACGAAAGAAAATACAGAAATGAACACAGAAAGTAAGCAGTCAGTATGTTCAATATCATTAGTCATGGACATACAAAATTAAGACCACAATAAAATAGCACTACCTATCCATTAGAATGGCTAATAAAAAGATACTGATAACATCAAATGATTGAGAGGCCAGAGAGACGCTGTATCATTCACATCTTGTTAATATAAATTATTTGGAAGCCTCTTAAAAAGCTAACCATGACATGGTGACTCCATCTAGCCAGGGAACTCAGTGTGAAGTTCTGCCTTTTTCAAGACCCCAAACAATGAGCACTGCTGGCCTTAGAGCCTGTTTTTGCCACCCTGCCTGGCAAGAAAGCTAATTCATAGCCCTGCTTACTGCTGAGTGCAGCCCCCTGCCCCATCCCACCAGGAAACCTGACCAGCGCATCCAGGAATCTGAGCAACTTAGCAGAACTTGAGAGTAGCACCTAACCAGGGTCTCTGCCCATCTGCAGACCCAGCTGGTGACCCCATCTGGCCAGGGAGCTCAGTGTGTTTTGCCTGATTCATGTCCCTGACTACTAAGTCTAACTGGCTGTGGAGGCTATTACACAGCCCTTGCCCAGGCAGGGAAGCAAATCTGAAGCCCTGCTTGGCACTGAATATAGCCTCCAGCCCTGCCCAACGAGCAAACCTAACCAGAACACCTGGGAAGCTGTGTAGCCCAACCTACAGCGAAGCTTACAACAGCACCTGAGTAGAGAGCCAAGCCAGCACCTCTTTCCATCTGCAGAGCAGAGCTGGTGGTACTGTCTGAACAAGGAGTTTGGTGGGCAGCTCTGCTGGATTCAGGTCCCCAACCATCAAGCTACAGGGCCATGGAGCCAGTTTTACAATTCCAGTCAGGCAAGAAAGCAGATTTGTAGCCCTGCCTAGCTGTTGAGTATAGCACCCAGTCCTGCCTGAGTAGGAAGTTTAACCAGAGAATTCGTGCAGCCACAGAGCCCATCCCATAGCTTCACGTGGGCAGGAACCAACTGTTCTCAGCCAGAGGCACCTAGCCTGACCTCAGAGCTCAGGCAGCAGCCTTGCCCAAGTAGAGACCCTGATAGCAAGCCCCACCTGACCAAAGATGCTGCCTGCTGACCTGTCCAGAACCAAACAGTGAATTGACTGGTGAAAGACCATTTCTGGAGAAGAGAACCAATAAAGTGTGGAAAAGGAAACTGCTTACTCAAACGTGCAGACACCAACACAAAGAATCAAGGATTGTAAAGAATCAAGTAAACAATGACATCATCATAGGAGAATACTAAAGCTCCAATAACTGACCCTAAAGAAATGGGAGATCTATGAACTGTCTGCAAATAATTCAGATTATTCCTCTTAAAAAGTTCAGTGAAATACAAGAAAACACAAATAACTAAACAAAATTAGGAAAAAATGCATGAACAAAATGAGAAGTTCAACAAGAAATAGAAACAAAACAAAACAAAAAAGTAATCCTATAGTTGAAGAATCCAGGACTGACCTGAAGAATTCAATTGAGAACTTCAACAGCAGACTCCATCACGCAGAAGAATCAGTGAACTATGAAATAGGGCATGTGAAATTATCCAGTCAGAACAGCAAACAGAATTAAAAAGAGTAAAGAAAGCATATGGGACTCATAGACACCATCTAAAGAACAATATGTGCATTGTAAGAATCTCAGAAGGAGAAAAGAGTGGGAAAAAAGAGCCAGAAAGTATTTAAAAACAATAATGGCTGAAAACCTCCCAAACATGAGGAGGGAAATGGATATCAGAGTAATGACACCCAAAAGACCCCAAATAGGTTGAACCCAAAAAGGGCTACATAGAGACACTATAATTGTCAAAAGTCAAAGACAAAGAATTTTGAAAGCAGCAAAAGAGTGACACATCACATACAAGGGACCACCTCCCCTCCCATAAGACTATGGACAGATTTCTCAATAGCAACTTTTCAATCAGGAGAGAATGAGGTGATATATTCAAAGTACTGAAAGGGAAACAAAAACTGTCAACTAAGAATAGTATAGCTGGTGAAGTAGTCTTTCAGAAATGAATGAGAAGTAAAGACTTTCTCAAACAAAAGCTAAGGGAGTTCATCACCATTACATCTGCCTTACAAGCAATACTAAAGGTAGTTTTTCAAGGAGAAATAAAATATGCTAATTAACATCATAAAATACACGAATGTTTGCAGAACTAACTGATAATGGTAAATATACAGTCAAAATCAGATTCTCTAATATTGTAATCATATTCTCAAATATGTAATTCATTTACAACTCTAGTTTAAAAGTTAAAAAATAAACATTAAAAATAACCATAATAATTTGTTTTTGGATACATAATACAAAATATATGTAAAATGAGGGGTGCCTGTCTGGCTCAGTCAATGGAGTATGTGACTCTTGACCTCAGGGTTGTGAGTTTGAGCCCCACATTGGGTGCAGAGATTACTAAAAAATAAAATCTTTAAAACACTATATATATATATATATATATATATATAACTGAAACATTAATAACCTAAACTGTGAGTGAGGGGAGAGTAAAAATTTAAAGTTTATATACTAGTAAAACTAAGTTATCAACTTAAAATAGAATGTTATAAATATATTTTATGTTAACATCATGGTAGCCAAAAAGAAAACCCTGTAGTAGTCACATAAAAGTTTATGATAAGGGGCGCCTGGGTGGCTCAGTCGTTAAGCGTCTGCCTTCAGCTCAGGTCATGATCCCAGCGTCCTGGGATTGAGCCCCACATCGGGCTCCCTGCTCTGTGGGAAGCCTGCTTCTCCCTCTCCCACTCCCCCTGCTTGTGTTCCCTCTCTCGCTGTGTCTCTCTCTGTCAAATAAATAAATAAAAATGTAAAAAAAAAAAAAGATTATGATAAAAGAATGATAAAATATTGCTACAAAAAATCATCAAACCTCAAAGAAGCAAGAAAGTATCTACTAAACAGTCAGAACACAGTTAACAAAATGGCAATAGTAAGTCTTTACCTATTAATAATTTAAACATAAATGGATTAAATTCTCCAATCAAAAGACATAGGATGGCTGAATAGATAAAAATACAAGATCCAATGACATGCTGCCTACAAGAGACTCCCTGTAGCTTTAAAAACACATGTACACTGAGAGTGAAGGAATGGGAAAAAATATTTCATGCAAATGGTAACCAAAAGAAAGCAGAGATGCTATACTTATATCAGATAAAAGAGACTTTAAAAATAGTCAAAAGAGATAAAGAAAGTCCTAATATAATGATAATGGAGTCAGCCCATTAAGATTATGTAATTGTAAAATGTTTATGCACCCAATATCAGAGCACCTAAATATAGAAAGCAAATACTAACAGAAGTGACAGAAATAAATAGCAATAAAATAGTAACTGGAGACTAATATCCCACTCAACAATGGGATCAGAGAATCAGTAAGGAAACAGTGGATTTGAACAACATTATAAACCAAAAGGACCTACGTGGCATATACAGACACAGAACGTTTTGTAGGACAGGGCAAATGTTAGGCCACGATACAAGTTGTAGCAAGCAGAAGAAGACCGAAATCACACCAACTATATTTTCCAGCAACAATCATATGAAAGCAGAAATCAATAATGGGAAAATTTGCAAATATATGAAAAAAAATTTTTTTTAATATTTTATATATTTGAGAGAGAAAGAGCGAGAAGAGAGGGAAAGGGAGCATGGAGCCAGGGGAGGGGCAGAGGAAGGAGCAGACTCCCCCTGAGCAGGGAGTCCAGTGTGGGGCTGGATCCCAGGGCCCTGGGATCATGACCTGAGCTGAAGGCAGACACTTAACCAACTGAGCCAGCATTACCATGATATCAAATTCAGATAAGGCCACTACAAAAACAAGACAAAACAAAACAAAAAACCTACAAGCCAATATCCCTGATGATTATAGATGCAAAAAGTCTCAACAAAATTCTAGCAAACTGAATCCAACAGCACATTAAAAGGATAATACACCATGATCAATTAGGATTCATCCCTAGGAGGCAAGGGTGAATGAACATGCAAATCAATAAATGTAATTTACCATATTAATAAAAAGATAAAAATCATATGATCATCCCAACAGATGGAGAAAAAAACATTTCAAAAATCCAACATCCATTCATTATAAAAATTCTCAAATAACTGGGCATAGAAGGAAAGTGGGCATAGAATTCTCAAATAATAAAAGGCCATATATGACAAACCCACAACTTACATCAAATTCAATGGTGAAAGGTTGAAAGGTTTTCCTCTAATATCAGGACCAAGAGAAGGTTGTCCACTCTCACCACTATTCAACATAGTACTGGAAGTTCTAGCCAGAGCAATGAGGCAAGAAAAACAAATAAATGGAATCAGAACTGTTAAGGAAAAAAGTAAAATTGTCTTTGTTTGCAAATAATGTTTTATATACAGAAAATCCTAAAGACTGCACCAAAAAAAAAAAAGTAACAACTAATAAATGAATTCAGTAAAGCTGTAGGATACAAAATCAACATACAAAAATCAGTAGTATTTCTATATACTAACAAATTAAAATTTAAAATAAAACAATCTCATTTACAATAGCATCAAAAATAATAACATACTTCGGAATAAATTTAACCAAGTAGGTCAAAGACTTATAAACTGAAAACTATAAAACACTGATGAAAGAAATTGGAGAAGACATGAATAAATGGAAATATACCCTGTGTTCATGGATTGGAAGAATTAGTATTATTAAAATGTCCATATTACCTAAATCCCTCTGTGAATTGAATGCAATTGCTATCAAGATACTTAAGGCATTTTTCATAAAAATAGAAAAAATAATCTTAAAATTCATATAGAACCATCTACACAGCCAAAGTAATCCTCCAATAGCCAAAGTAATCCTGAGAAAGAACAGCAAAGCTAGATACGTCACACTTACTGATTTTTTAAAAAGATTGTATTTACTTATTTGAGAGACAGCACGCACGAGAGAGCACAAGCAGGTGGTGGGGGGGGAGCGGGAAGAAGAGGGGGAGAGGGAGAAGCAGACTCCCTGCTGAGCAGGGAGTCTGATGTGGGGCCCGATCCCAGGACTCCAGGATCATGACCTGAGCTGAAGGCAGGTGTTTAACTGACTGAGCCTGCCATGCGCCCCCACACTTCCTGATTTTAAATTATATTACAAAGCTATAGTAATCAAAACAGTATGGCACTGGCATAAAAACAAGCACATTGACTAATGGAAAAGAACTGAGAGCCTAGAAGTAAATTCACACATAAATGGTCAACTCTCATTTGACAAGCAGGCCATGAATACTCAATGGTGAAAAGATAGTTTTTTCAATAAATGGTGTTGGGAAAATAAGATATTTACATGCAAAAGAATGGAACTAGACCCATCTCTCACACCACTCACAACAATTAAGTCAGTTAAAGACTTAAATGTGAGACCAGGAACCATAAAACTCCTGGAAGAAAAGTAGGGAATAAGCTCCTTGACACTGGTAATAGCAATGATTTTCTTTTTTTTTTTTTTTTTTTGGATATGACACATAAGGCAAAAGCAACAAAACAAAAAATAAACAAGTGGGACTACATCAACGACAAACTTCTGCACTGTAGAATAAGTGATCAACCAAATGGAAGAGCAGCCTACAGACTGGGAGAAAATATTCTCAACCTGCACATCTGATAAGGTGTTAATATCCAAAATATATAAGGAACTTCTAGAACTCAATAGCAAAAAAACCTCCAAATAATCTAATTAAGAATGGGCAATGCACATGAACAGACATTTTCCCAAAGCTATTCAAATGCCTAACAGGTACATGAAGTGGTGCTCAGTGCCACTAATCATCAGGAAAAGGCTAATCAAAACCCCGAGATACAAACTCACACTTGTCAGTATGGTTTTTGTCAAAGAGATGAGACAGCAAGTGCTGTTGGGGGATGTGAAGAAAAGGGAACCTTGTATACTTTTGGTGTGAATGAAAACTGGTGCAACCAATATAGAAAATAGTATGGAGGTTCCTCAAAATTTTAAAATGAAACTACAATATGATCTTACCAATTCAACTTCTAGGTATGAATTAAAAGGAAACAATCACTTGTCCTGAAGAGGTATCTATCTGCCATATTCACAGCAGCATATTCACGATAGCCAAGATAAGGAAACGACTTAAGTGTCTGTAGATTGATAAATGGATGAAGAAAATGTGAAATACACACACACACACACGGAGCATTAGCCATAAAAAAGAAGGAATCCTGCCATTTGCCACAGCACAGATGGACCCTGAGGGCATTATGCTAAATGAAATAATAAAGACAAATACTGTAGAATGTCACTTATATGTGGAATCTTGAAGAAAAAAAAATCCCATGGAAACAGAGAACATGTTGTTTGCCAGAGGGGCTGGGGGCTGGGGGAACTGAGTGAAGGAGATGAAAATGTACACATTTCCAGTTCTAAGAGTTAAGTTCTGGAGCTGTAATGTACAGCATGATGACTGCAGGTAACAATGCTGCCTTCTATATTTGGATGTTGCCGAGAGTAAATCTTAAAAGCTATCAGAAGAAAAAATTCTGCAAGGTGATGGATGTTAACTAAACTTATTGTGGTATTCATTCCATAATATTTACAAATATCAAATCATTATGTTGTACACCTAAAATTAACATAATGTTATATGTCAATCATATCTCAATTAAAATGGGGGGACTAAACACCAATTATATTACCCAATAATCACTGATGTGAGCACATTTATCCTAGAGAAATACAAATCTGTATATGGTTTTCCATAGCATCTACAGTTGTGTGGTCAAAAACTGTAAACATCCAAAATGTTGCTTAGTATATGGATGAGTGAATATACAAACTGTCGTCCCTCCATACCATGGAATACTACTCACCATTAAAACGGAACAAACCACTGATGTACATCACAACTTAGATGAATTTCAAGAGCATTGGATAGTGAAAAAAGGCAATCTCAAAAGGCCACATACTGTATGTTTCCACTTCTAGAACATTCTTGAAATGGCAACATGATAGAGACGGACACAGATTAGTGGTTTCTAGGGACTGAGGAATGTGGTGGGAGGTAGAGGGGCAGGAATGCATAAGGGAGACTTTTGCAGTGATCTGTTAATAAATTGTGACTTGATTAGTTACAGGGATCTATACATGTGATAAAATGACATAGGACTGTCCCCACAGAGGGCACCAATGCCAAGTTCCTGATTTTGATTTTGGGCAATAATTAATGTAAGATGTAGCCTTGGGTGAAGGGCACGTGGGACCACTTTATACTATTTTTGTAACTTCCTGTATGTATGTGATTATTTCAAAATAAAAATTAAAGACCATGAAATATAAATTCAATTTACAAACTGTTTTGATATCCCAGTTTTGTTCTTGTTCAAAACACTTAAAAAATGCAAAGGAAATGTTTTCTTTTTTAGTGTAAGTAGTTCCTCAGTTGTTTTTTTTTTAAAGATTTATT